TTGCCCTACTCTTTCAGCTATCTTAACTCTCTCCCCACCTTCTCTTTTTCCTCACCACATTCCATTTTTCTCTCCTCCCACACTCTCTTCCTCCCCATTCTCTCTCTCCCCACTCTTCCTCTCTCACCCTTTCTCCCCACTCACTCTCAACCTCCCCACTCACCCTTTCTCTCTCTCTCCCCACTCTCTCTCTCACCCTCCCCCTCTATCCCCACTCACCCCTTCTCTCTCTCTCCCCACTCTTTCCCACTCTATTTATTTATTGTCCGTCTGACTTAGTGACTAATTGGCATTGTGAAATAAACTATATATATGCACAATACATGGATGTTTCATAGTTTATTTACAATAAAAAAATAATGGGAAAAATAATTATCTTCAAAAAAGAGAAAATTCTTATAGTTATTTTAAAAGAAATTATAAAATCTTTTCACTTTAAAATGGATTTAGCAGAATTGTTTATTTATGCAAAAAATGAATTCAATTATGTTTTCACATAACAGAAAATACTGCTTCCCAGTTCACATTGAGATAATTGCGATGTTTGTTTGCGTATTTAATGAAGAAGAATTTATATATATTGTACTTGAAGAACAAAACTTATATGTTTACTAACATGTCAGCTTTAAAACCCAGTAGCAGGATATTATTTGTTGTACCGCTATGAAAAGTAGATGTGCGGTTGATGCCCTAAATTATCCACATGCTGAGAGGAGGTCTATCAAGTATTCTTTATTTGACCAAGTATGTAATTAGGGTTTGACATTCACTATCCCTTTCCCTTGTATGCATTCAGTTAGCTAAAATTTTATATTTTTATAATTTTTGTCCTGTTCAGACATCGTGTCGTTGTAACCAATATGCATTTTCATCATCGTTGTTCGCGCATTACCGGATATGTCATATTTTGTCATTGCATGTAATTGTTCGTTTAGTGCTTTATTCAAATGCGTTCTGTTAATAAACCTACATGCAGCCTTTATTTGTTGCATGGTTCTACTCCACTAACCATAGATTTTTGAATGGATAGTGTTAAATGATTTACCGTTGGGCCATCAGTGTAATTTGAGTAAATGTTCACCTTATAACAAGCCTTAGCCATGCTTCTGGGAAAATTACAATCAGTACAGTACAGCCCATTCAATAAAAAGAGTCATGCAAAATGTATGCTTGAAAATTGTTACAAGGTTGCCTCTGTCGCGCATAGCGCCCTCCTCAAGTCATGTAACATTAAAGAAATAAATTTGTAAATCGTAAAACATTTGAAACAAGCATTCAATTCTTAGTCTGAAGGAATAATTTAAGTTAATAAGAATAAATAAAATCCTTATATTAAGAGGATTTTCGGTGAAAGGAAAAAAGATTTCTTTTCACTTTTATCCTAAAAACCCTTTAATATTTTCAAACCTCGTATCAGACAGTAAGAACGCTTAATTTGTTTATAGGAAAGACGTACATGGCCAGAGGGGAATTCTTTCCTATAGGCTAGCAAATTTAAAGAGTGGGTTACAACCCCAAAACTCACCTCTATAAATACGCTCATACGAATCTCGCATGGTACTTGATTCTAACATTCTATTGGTAAATTTTTATTACATGTAACTAGAAATGGAAAAGACGATACCACCGTGTATACTAGACTTATGCCAATTCTTGGTATACCAAGCACCTTTTTTTTTTTTTAATCAATCAAATTTTTTGATGTAAAACCCTTATTTTGTTAAAGACTTTGTTGACACTAGCAAACGACAAAAAGACATTTGTAAAGATTTTGAGCTAATCACTTTTTTGTGCCCCTTGTATCCAAGGTCAGAGACATACTGATTTTATATTAGTTCTGTGTGTTATTTTTTTTCACAAATTTAATCTTCACTTCCCTAAATTTTTATGAGAAGAAATTTGAGACTTTATTCATAGAAAATCAAAGATATTTACGAGATCGAATTTTCTTGTCAATCTTCCATTTTTCTTCACGTAAATTTGTTTGGGTAGGGTTCCAAAAAGTTAACCTTTCATATAACTTCTGAAGAAGAAAAAAAGAAGACTGTATTTTTATTTGTTGCACATTATTTTCCCAGGAAAATCAAAGAGGATTACAATTATGGAAGCTATACATACATATATATATATATATATATATATATATATATATATATATATATATATATATATATATATATATATATATATATATGTTTCTTTTTCTTACCCCACCTAAGAAAATTCTTGATTTTTTTTTAAAAATATTTACAACTGTGGAAACTTATTTTATTAAATGTAATAAAAAAAATCAAAGAATGTACGTATTCTTGCTCTAATAGTCATAGAACATCATTATAGCCTTGTTGGGTTTTCCTTTAATGGGGATAAAACATCTTGTATTATTAATGTTACATGTAAGTATAGTATAACCTTTTAATTTTGTCATTTAAACTTCAAAGCTTTTAGAAATGAACACTTCATATCATACGGATGCGTGATTTAACCCCTATTTATTTGCCTACAAGACCAAAACCATGAGGTTTTTGGTACAAAAAATGACACAGGGTCATTTTTCTACAATCTACATGGAGAAAAATAACGCCAAGACCATAATTTCTACAAAAAACAGACTGACAGACAGACAGAGAGACGGACATACGGGGAGAAAACCTCTAGTCCCCTCCGGTTTCACTGGTTGGGGACTAATAACTGCACTTAAAGAGCAAAACTTAATGGAAATGAATTGATTAACTGGTAACAAATACGAACGTTTTTAAAATATAAATATTAACACATACATATGTATATAGATTCCGTATATGCATTCAGATCGGCAAATGAATTGTATGTTATTCCATATTAGTGACCAGGTAGAAGATGGGCTATGCATACATTGCTAACCCGAGTTTCGTTGCACATACACTTGACAACTATTCTGACTCAACAGCAAGCATTATTGGAATGAGATAAATCCACACTACTGGTAAATAATATACTACCTATGATTAGATAATATTGTTATTTATTATATCACTAACAAATGCTCTTACATTTAATATGATCCAGGGTTTAAAACCGTGTTCAAACATCCTTTCTCTCAGTAATGCACAGCATATATAATAAAAGTATCTATGAATACCAAATTTAATGTTTCCTGTCTGACTCCAACTATTGACCTTCCAAGCACAAGGCCTTGTCACCACACAACCATAATAAAAATTCCCCCTTTTATCCCTGAATAAAATGATTAAGTTCTATTGGAACCATCTTTTTTATTGATTGCTCATGATGTCGACTTTGTTGTGACATTGTCTTACCTACATCGTATGTCATGATGGTGCTCTCAAATTGTACGAATTTCTCTTTTCGAGGATATGTACTTTGAACATTTTTCTCTATTGCATCCTATGATAAGTTTTCACCTAGTACTTTCTTGTAGTTTTTATCAATGATGTTTTTGTCTCTATATTATATTCACTGTGAAAGTTGAGTCCTTATTGTGGCGTCGGGGACCATAATTTAAACAAATGTGTATCTATGGAGCCCGGAAATCCGTTTACAGGAATCCTTTTATGTCATTTCTTACCTGAAGATAATCCACATTTGTTTAAAACGACTATCCAAGATATATTCTTTTAAAATTATTTCCATAACATAGAAGACGCTTACGTGCCTTTAAATGAAATATTGAGTTTTTCTCTTTTTTTTTTCTTTCTTACTGTTTTTTTTTTCTTTGGTCAAATTTGGTTGATTGCTGTAAAGAGGTTCTACAGAAAACAGCGCGGACAACAGAGAAAGTCCAATCAAAATCTGGTTGAGCCTAACTTGAGCTAAATAACGAAACGTTGAGTATTTATAGACCAAAGTAAACATGCATAAAATTTACAACCTCGGTAATTAATTATTCAAACACAGTCATTAAAATATATACTTAAATAACATACATTTATTTTACAAGGATAATGATTTGTATACTTCGCCTTGTTATTATTACGACTATACATTATTTTGTAGTAAATCTAACAGCATATGAAGTTGTATGATAAATACCAAGCTGCAAAATTATTTGTTACAAATCCATTACAATGATTAACAGTGGGTACATATACATGTACAGTGAAACATTGAAGGGGGATGATTATCAATTTGCAAATGTTCTTTCAAGATGTTGGGATATACTTACACATCCCTCTTTGAAGAAAATAAACATACAAATGTACCTGTACTTTCAAAATAGTAAAATATTAAACACACGCACCAACACACATTTACTACTTTCAAAGTTAACGATCTGGAGGATGTATATAAATTTAATTATCCTCAAACGGCCAAAACCACTCAGTGTCATGATGATGGATGTATGTATGAAGTGTATTGGATGTTCTTCATTCTGTCTGAATATACTGATCACTTTTTTCAAGTTCTTAGAAATACATGTATGATGTTTTAAAATCTGTCAGGAACTTTTCGGTTTAAATCTTAGTCATCGTATTCAGACACACATAAATAAGATAAATGCATTATCCTGAAACCGAGCCCCAGTGGCCACAACCTATTAAAGCCTCCCGCGATTCAAAATATCAAGAGTAACATTGGAAAGTTGCTCTGACCATCGTCTTAATAAAAAAAAAATATCAATGAATAAACAACTTAAAAAAAAGAAAATTATACAGCCATTTTTGTCTTCTAGAGTTCAATCCACATTTAATATATATATTTTAAACATTAAACCAAGATCTACAAGAATAAAAATAACAGCTGATTGAAATAATATTCAGTTCCGGTAAACTATATAGCATTCACTGTAGACAAAGTAAATCAGCAATCAAGATAAAGCCATATTGTGAGAATTAAAATGGTGCTTTAGGACTTTTTTATGAAAGTCAAAATTATTTAGTTACTAACATAAAATATCTATTTGCTATTTCTATACCGAATTAAGTATTCATATCAATGCGAAGTAAGAGATATTTACAGATATATTTATAAAAAATTCCACACATTTGTATATGCACAAATCACACCTCGTTGTTCAAACTGTTGACACGCACAGGTGCCCGGCAATTTTCCTTCTCAGCAGAATGAATGTCTTTGTAATGGTTAGATGTGCACGACCCATCGTCTTCTCTATGGTCGACCACGGTAGAAAACGCAGGATTATATTGACAGGGGTCGAGAGTTGGATCCAGATAATATGGATCTTCCTTGTCTTTCCTTCGTTTTCGATAGATAATAACAATTATTACTGATAGTACAGCAATCAAGAAAATAACTCCTATTACAATTCCTGTTACAGTCCCTACTTCATTTGAATCTGTCGAGCTGAAATGTTTCTCATACAAAGTTGCGGAACAGTGTGTTTCTGAAAATATACACATTTTTCAGAGATAAAGACATCAAAACAACAAAGAAAAAACAACCTCTAAGGTGACCAATGCACAGAATTTTCAAACGATATATCGTATACATCATCTGCAATTTCCCCATTTTCTCTCTCTCTTTGTTGATAACATCGATGAATTAGAACTAAGAAAAATGCAGCTATGGAAAAATCTACTAATATCCCAATAACTACAGCCGCTATGGTGACTGATGAATAGACTTCTGACTGGGATAATAGAGGAGAGATTACTTGAAATTATTGAAAAACGACATTCACTTAAAGAAACATTACTTTTACAGTATCCTATCCTTCAAAAACTGCCGCAAAAAGTTTCAGATCATGTTTTATTTTTTCATATAACATTTAATGTCTTTTTTAGGCTTGTTTAACTCTAAACAATTTTTATGTAAAATGCATTATTTTTTTTCAATATCCATTGTTCATTAGTAAATCTGAATAAATTGATATGACGAATATGAAACATTGTACATTTTCTATAAACGTCAATCTTACGATGACAGTACATTTGTATACAAAAATAAATCGATGGTGTATATTTTGTTATGTTTTGAACGATTTTATACAATATTTTAACTTTTTTCTAAATGAAGCAACTACTTTTATATACGCACGTAGTCCAGGGATCGACATTAACGGTTGTCCGATTGCCCGGGACAAGTAAATTCTCAGTTCGGGCAAGTGAATCTTACGACGTACTTGTCCGATCGGGCAAGTGAATTTTTCTCATAGAAATGTACATAGGCCTATTTATTTAGTTTACATTAATTTATATTAAAAAAAACAACCAACAAATTGAAGACTTGATTTCCGCCAGGTACCTGACTGACATTGTTTTTGCATTCGGAATTCCTTGTCAGCATTTCTGGATTATGCCTTTCATTTGAAAATCCGGTTCGTTATTCCGTTTTTTCCCCTAGTAAATATGCTGTTCGTCTAACATCTCTGGAAATTTGAATATTAGATTATTTATTCACTCACAGAATATAAGTACAGAGTAACACGTTAAGGTAAAGATCGATGTATGTTACGTAGCAACTATCTTCCTTCAGCGTTGTTTCACAGTTATCTCAGAAAATCACGATTCACAAAAGAATTCTACCGAAAATAAGTTTAAAAATATGAATTTTGTTAACACACACTACGATATATAGCAATAACGTTCCGTTATTGCTATATATTGTAGTGTGTGTTAACAGGCTAAATTTACAAGGACAGTGGTATACATTTATGTACAAACGCATCATGGAAATTTTTTCAGGTACCTTACCTTGCCAAATTGACAGTAGTGCATTTGGTCTTTTTTTTTTTTTTTTTGACATAACATTTACAGTAATAGAAATTTATTCTGAAGTTCTTTCCTTATTTTTGCAACCAAGTTTTGCATTCGGACAAGTCAAAGTTTGAGATAACTTGCCCGAAGGGCAAGTAAGTCTGAAAGTTAATGTCTATCCCTGCGCCGTACCAAAATACCTCTACAATTTTCTGACTTCTTTATAAAACATTAAATAACACCAACTACACAAATAATTTATATATTTTTCTTAATTTCCGTATTTAAAAAAACCCGCTCCGTTCAATCTACAGGAATAAACTGTGATACTAGTATATGAAAGTTTGGTCTTCAATTTATATGTTTACTTTGATTAGATGAATAATAACAGAACGATATAAAAATATTCAATATTTCTGACAAAAGTATAATGGTTCCTTACGTTTCTCAGGTTGAACTTTTCCAAATGGACAAGTTTCAAAGACATTGCAGCATGGCAGAAAGTCTTTGTCGTTTTCGTCCTCAGTACACCAGCTGCATCCTGTCACCCCTTTACAATTTCTACGTTTAAAAATAGAAAGATTTTTAATCAGTATAATCAACTTATGTTAATACATTGCAACCAAACCTTCTGTTTTTAAGGATAAAGCTAACATAGAAATTGAATTTCTTCTCAACTGGTTTGATAAACAGTCATAATAAAATGTTTAATGTCTCATCTAGCATGGTTTAGAAAGAGGACATAGTTTAATGACAAATCCCCACTATCCAATTAACGCTGTTTACAGTAAAGGTACAACTAAACAGAAGGCAAAGGCAACTATGTATGAAACAATATATGAAACAACATAAAAGTTATCCAGAAGTCGAATTCTTTTCGCTATTCTAGTCCCTTATTGTGCTTTTGTGCATCACGACAGAATATAAATGACCATACATGTAGGATGGACAAGTTTAAAATGATAAAGAGAAACTATGAGGAATCCACATATATATATATATATATATATATATATATATATATATATATATATATATATATTAGACAAAATTGCCAACGCACCACTTGTTATTCTTATATGTGAATTGATCATTTGCCTGATCGGTACTAGTATATAATATATGCCATCTTTTTCAAAACTGTTGGATTGAGAAATGTTTTCGTGTCATGATAAGACTCTTAAAGGTCCTCCTTGCCCGAAAACCAATTTCCCGACGTGCACCGCCCACCGTTTTTGCCAAGATATGAAGTTGGTGATTATACCAATTGTGATCCATGAGGTTGCGACAGGAAATAGTCTCCAGCTTAAAAATCAAATAATATACCCTGATTGACTATCATATCGCTTAATAGTCATCCAGTGCCTTGGTGTCCTTTCTAAATCCACCCAACTTCCGGTTGCCCCAATTTTGTGGAACAATCTTGAAATTATTGTGTGGTGCTTACTCAATGTCGTCGCTGTCTATAGTGAGCATTTTTATGATTGTTGATTCATTTGCAACAATTTTTCATTAGATAAATGAATAACCATTCAACTGTTTTAATTTTTCACAAATTTCTCCAAAGGAACCCCCGGCAGACACCATACTCACTGTCTTAGCACGCTCTTCTAGGGTCAAACGCCGCATATTGTGTAACGTTTATCCCGAGTTTTTAATTAGTACGAACATAAAAAACACTTCCACAAAGAAAAAAAATAGAAATTTATTCCACCAAAAAAGTATGGACACGATTTTAATTTTTTCTATGAAATGGTTACGCTTCAGTAATCATTGTCGTTATTTATCAGTTAAGGCATTTAAATGCCTCATTTTTTATCAAAGTAACATAATTATATATTTAGAAACACCATAAACAAGAAAAATATTAATTTATTTAGCAATTTTGTCTAGTGTATATATATATATATAGAGAGAGAGAGAGAGAGAGAATTTGAAATTAATAAGATTTTTTTTAAAATGCGAAGATGAACCGATTCCATTTATTTCATATGCCTAGTCATATATTAAATTGTGTTACATAAAAGTTAAGAGTCGTTCTCTGTAAGGATTTGCAACTTTAGAAAAGGGGTGTGACACACATTATTAGATATTTCCTCCAAACTTCGTAATTGGTAGCATGGCAATGGGTATCAAAGTTAGAAAAATGCTAATTTTTGACGATTTTGAAATCCTACTGCATATTCTTGTGGCAAAGTCGAGCTAAAATCATTATTGACACATGATTTTTGGGACTTTATGTTTTACATGTACTAAAAAGTCACTGTGGAATATAGTTAATTTGCGGTATTACCAATATGAAAGTGACAAAAGAGAAAATTCACATTTTTACAAGGAAGATTTTTCGTGAATATTTTCAAATGTTTTTAAATCATTCACAAATGATAGAAAATGTATTTGAAGACTTTTAAAAGGTTAAATGGATATAGCAATTACATTCATTCATTTTCAATGTACCGATTTGACATCCCTAATTACAATAAAATTTAGACCCTTTATTGTTGCCAAAATCTTGCTGATTTGAACAAACTCAAGTCTACGTTGAACGAAGGTGCTTGAACATCAGTATAACTAACGGAGGTCTGTTCTTGCATTGACGAGAATAATTTGCTGATTTTTCCATTAATATGTCTATTTAAACATTCGATCTTTTTTGGTCCCATCCTAGCCCAAGGGAAGATTATTTGAGGAACCCATTACGGACACTAAGATACATTTGAATACTTACGACTCGTTTCGAGCATTACAGTTAACATCAAAGCACAGTTCGAGCTCTTTTGTCTTATCTGATTCTTTCTGAACTTTGACGTTTGAATCTGGTAACCCGACACTACAGATGTTGTATTCATCCCTGTTATGAAAAAAATCATTTTTCCAAGAAATTAAATAAATCAAAATTTCATTTTTAATAAATATAAGTTTCTGGTGGCTTCAACTTTCCGCTGATTACTTACCCCGATGTAGTTTTATCCTCACAGGTATCATAAGGAACGACCGTATGACACAGACAACAGTGTGATTCGCTTGCACTACTACAGGTTTGAACTAAAGGCGATTTTTCTGAATTCTAATAAATTAAAAAATATAATACATGTACTTAGATTATTTTGAGTTCGAGTAAAGTTATGAACAAATACGAACATTGTGTCCTACAAACAAATGTGAGCTTTGGGGGGTCATGTCATTACAGTTTAGAACAATACTGTTGGGCCTAACATTATGAGAAATGAACAAATTCAGGAATGATTAATTATCAGATTAACAAATTAACATCCCTTCCAATTCCGTAACATGTTGTTCCTTAAGTTTATGAAACTTGTTTTAGATTTTCTTTTTATCTAAAAAGAATACATATAATGAAATTAATTATTCATGATTTTTAATTTCTTTGTACAGACCTGACAACAAGTCGTCTTTTCAGAGCTGCCGTCTTCCTCTTTCTTAATGATGATATACACATTACTGTTGAGAACGGGAGCAATCATATACCCCTTTGTTGACAGTTTGTTAACTGGGCGAGCTGTATCCGACAGGGAAACCTGAATAGACAGACTTTAAATTATTATTAAATTTAAGCTTCTAAATTATATATATTACACTCTCAGCTAAGAAGAGTCAACAAAATAGCCAACAATTGCATTTCAAATGTGTGTCTTTTGGTATACATGTACTTGCCCGAAAAGAAAACATCTGCTTTTTATTTTCTATATTCAAACAGCTTTTTTTCACAATATTTCCGTCCTTAAGCAGATCCTCCATTATATGTTTTTCCTTTACAGAAAAAAGAAACAATTAGTACTCGGTCTATGTAAAAGTTAACGTTTTAATTTCATCATTAAGTTTTTTACTCGCATAAAAAGGTTGCTAGTCAACCGGATGGCGCAGTGGTTAGAGCGTTTGCTCTAGAGTCGCGGTGTAAGGAGTTGATCCTTACGTCGAATCCCATTGTGGGACGAAGAGACCGGTCCTTCGGATGAGACAGTATAAACCGAGGTCCCTTACCGCAGTAGGTGCTGGCAAGAAAAAGAATACTCACTGCTCAATGGCCATAAGTGCCAAGTATAGGTCTAAATTTGCAGCCCTCCACCGGCAAGTGGTGGTATCTCCATGTGAGTGAAAATTCTCGAGAGGGACGTTAAACAACAAACAAACAAAAGGTTGCTTATAATCTTCACAGAATACCACATCAATGAAACTTACTTTTTCTCCTAAATGTTTTCTTGTAAATTCCTCAGCACTTTCGAAGCTGGTATATATCACAAGGAACCCACTGGTATCTATCACCATGCACCTGAAAATGTAAACAGTGAAGGGTACTTTTAAGTTTCTAATTTATTTCTCAATGATAATAAAGGGGAAGATGAATAAAAAGATGAAGGGAAAACATGATGCCAATATTACCAAAGGAAAAATGTTACTTTTCCGAACTAAAAAATACTTTCTGGTCTAGTGTCGTAAAATATAGTATAATGCTAAATAATGCATTTTCAAAATTAAAAATAAAAGATTCCTTTCCACTAAAGTCCCCAGTCAAACTAATATATATATATATATATATATATATATATATATATATATATATATATATATATATATATATATATATATATATATATATATATATATATTGGGATGGCAATCGAATACAGAATAATTTTTATTGCTAATCGGTTAACCGCAAAACGTTCCGACTGATTAACCTGTTAAACGTATCAAACTACACAATGTTTATTTTCTTGACTTTTTTCAAGTAGCTCTATTCCTATGTACAAGAAGTCTTAAAAGATGTAAGAGGTCAAAATCATTCTATTTGTCTTTAGTCTTGATCAGAAAACTACGCGCATGTTTGTTTTTTTCGATAGACAAGAAAAAATTCAGAAAACCATGAAACATGCCTGAGATATCGTGGATAATTTTCCAGAGCAGATGTCACACAAGTTCATTCTTCATTGTCACCATAATCAAAACTACGTCAAAAGGTATCACTCTAATTACAATGTTTGTATCATAATTTAATTTGATAGATACATGTAACTGCAAAAAATACACACCAATTCACGGTGCACAACGGTGATTATTATCCTTAAAGAGTGCAGTCGGGTTGACGACATGATATTTTAACAGTAATTAACATATCTCAGACTGACCAATTACCCCGCAATTTTAACCTAGAGAGCCATAATTACCTCCCAATCAGCCTAAATAAATATATGAAAACGCTAAGTTAAACGTTTAGGTAGGTATTTCTTTTTTTAAAATGAATTTTAGAACATAGTGCCTTCAATTTTACATGTATTATATTTTTTTTTCTACTAATCGATTACAGATTTTCTAACCGACCAACATCGTTCCGACCGAGTAGTAACTGGTTAGAAATTGCCATCCCTAATATATATATGTAGGACTCCAAAGTGATGGTACTCCAAAGTCCGATGGTCTGCGCCAAACCCCGATGGTTTGACAAGCCAAAGTCCGATGGTGAGGAAAAACAATTGACGTTTGTGACGTCATAGTACTACTGCGCCAAACTGCAATGCCGCGCCATGAAAAGGGCTTAAATAAGTATAAATAAATATCATTATGCGAAAACTAACCCTAATCTCTCGGATAGGTGTGAAACTAACCGTAATCGCTCGAAAAGTGTGAAACAACTATAACCTAGATATCTTGGGTGGGTGCGAGACTAACCCTAATCACTCGACTAGTGTGCTAGGACAAACCCTCAATCTCTCGGGATGGTGCGAAGCAAGGACTAACCCTAATCAGTCGAGTGGTGTGCGAGGACTAACCCTAATATCTCTGTGGGTGCAAGCAATAAGCAAAATCAGTAAAATTGAATGCGAGGACGAATACTGAACTGATGGCTTTTGAATGCAGGACAACGGCGTCAAGGATTGACGTCGGATTATTGTGACGTCATAAACATTGGTTGTTTCTCCACACCATCGCACATTAGCGCAGCGCGTCTCATAGGAAACGAGCCTTCGGACTATGGCGTGACCATCGGACTTTGGCGTTCGTACCGACATCAAACCATTGGGGTTTGGCGCAGACCATCGGGGTTTGGCGAGACCATCTGACTTTGGCGTCATCATCGGACTTTTGAGTCTTACATATTCATATATATATATATATATATATATATATATATATATATATATATATATATATATATATATATATATATTAGGGATGGCAATTTGTAATCGGTTAACCGGTTACTCGGTCGGAACGATGGTAATCGGTTAGAAAATCTGTAATCGGTTAGTCGGAAAAAATTAATATATGTGTATATCTGAACACAATTTCATAAAAAATTCAAGTAAAAAGATACAAATAAAAATATCTGAAATGTTAGCATTTTCACCTTTCTATTGAAGCTGATTCGGGGATTATTAAGGCTCCATGGACACCATGGCGGTAATTAGTCAGTTTTCGAGATCAGACGTTAATTGTTGTGTAAACACCATGTCGTTACCCAACCTGTCCTTTGTTTCTTTAATGATTTAAATTAAATGATCGTTGAGTACTGCGAACTGATTATAATCATAATAATGTGTACCTTACCTCTTTTATAGATCCTTTGCAGTTACCTATCAAATTGCATTATTAAACAAACATTGTAAATTAAGCGATAGTTCAGACTTAGTTTTGATAATGGTGACAATGCAGAATTAATTTGCACGACATCTCTTAATGTAACTGATACTTCAGGCATATCCCATTGGTTTCCTTCTATCTCTATCTCTCTCTCTTTCTCTTTCTCTTTTTTTTTTTTTTTTTTTTTTTTTTTTTTTTTTTTTTTTTTTTTTTGCTTATTAAAATCAAAATAATGTATAATGAAATAATGTATATATCTGATAAATTATAAAAATACTGATAATATTTATTTACTATATGAAACTTTTTTAATAGAGCTTACAATGAAGAAATATGTCGAAAATTTTTGATACGATTAACCGATTAATCGGTCGGAACGTCTTGCGGTTAACAGATTGGCAATTCTGTATTCGATTGCCATCCCTAATATATATATATATATATATATATATATATATATATATATATATATATATATATATATATATATATAATATACACCTATTTACTGGCTATGAGGACAATAGCAAGTTTATCGTTCCCCAAGACAGCAACTATTTCCCGAGGCGCAGCCGATGGAAATAGTTGCTGTCGAGGGGGACGATAAACTTGCTATTGTCCGAATAGCCAGTAAATAGGTGTTTTATTATACCGAAGCAGTCTTTACTTGTGTTACGTCACAATCTGGATAAAACCAGAAGAGTTCCGAGATAAAACGCGAGGGACACAGAATGCTGCCGGTGAATAGTTTAATGACTATTTCACCAGGGGCAAATAGCACAAAAACTATTCCACGGTAGGGGCTGTTTGGAAAAAAAATAGCATGTTTATTCGTCATATTTTAAATAGAAAAAATTCACAGAGGTATAATATATATATATATATATACATATATATATATATAAAATGTCATATCAGTCAATATTTGATCATCGGTTACTCGGACGATTTTCCGACCTAGTACCCAGGTACTCGGTAAAAGTTGTTAATTTTATTGTTCCCCGCTTTCATAAAAGGGATACATTAAATCTTTTTGATGATGATAGGCTTCAAAGTGTCCAAGATATGCATCAACATCAGTTTGAAAATGAACACTAAAGTAGATTGGCGTGATCTACTTTTGATTCAACATGACATGAGGTTCTAAAATGCATTAACTGACAAGATTTGATGATCTAAGTCCTTATAATGGGCAAAGTATCAAAGTTTTAACAAAACATAATTTTAGGTCCATTTTGAGGTGACCTTGAGACCTTACCCTTTGTCCCAGGATAATGCCTTGAACAAATGTTAATCTACAACATATTCTCATCCTTATGCTTAAGTTTGGTGATAATCTGCCCTTTAGTTCTTGAGAAGAAGATTTTTTAGCAACCACTATTTTTGTCTTTATTTCCCTAATTATCTCCCCTTATTAAGAGCAACATCCCTATTTTTGTAAAAATGAAAGCTCTTGGGCCAAGGATACTCTGTGACAAATTTGACAAAAATTTCCCAAGGAGTTCTTGAAATATGACCCATATTCCTAAAGTTGACGCATCGCACAAATGTTTGTTTTTTTGTTTGTGTGTTGTTTAACGTCCCTCTCGAGAATTTTTCACTCATATGGAGACGCCACCTGCCGGTGGAGAGCTGCAAATTTTGACCTATACTCGGCACTTAGGGACATTGAGCAGTGAGGGATCTTTTTCGTGCCAGCATCTTCTGCGACACGGGACCTCGGTTTATACGGTCTCATCAGAAGGACCGGTCTCCACGTCCCACAGTGGGATTCGAACCCGCGACGTAAGGATTAAATCCTTACTTCGCGACTCTGGAACGGACACTGCACCACGCGGGCGACTGTATGAATGAACATAGCATTTAGTTCTTTGACCCTTCGGCTCAGAGAGCTAATAATACAAATATGTGAGCAGGACAGAAAAATACAGACCCCTGGAAATTCCAGAGGTCGTATTAGATGCCTAGGATGAATAAACATCCCCTGCCAGCTAGACAGAATAATCCACAGTCAAACTTTGTTTAAAAAACAATGGCCTAGTAATTGGTATGAAATATGTCAGTCAAAATTCGACCCAGTGATAGGATGTACTTGCAAACTAGATTATAATGACCATAGAATTAAAAAATGCTGACTAACAATGTTGTTGAAATCCATTTAACTCAACCTATTTGTCAATAGCCTACCTGGATTTAAATATTTCACTATTTGTAATAATTCACATTCTTCTTGACCTTAACCTCATTATTTTTTTTTACCAAAAACATTATGCTTACCCAAGGCAGATTATAATGTTTTGTCTTATTTATGTATTTTAGCAAGTGGGTTTTTATATTAAGAATGTACTGCAATTTTCTCTCTTTAACCTGACCATGACCTTTTAATTCCCTCGAAAAACAGCCACGGTGTACTGTAAAAAAAGTTTTGAATTTGCAATACTGGTGTACATAAAGTTATATAAATCTTGGTTCTTATGGCTAACGTTTTATTGAATAATATTGTATCTTGGTGAAGGCGAAATCTTCGTATCACATTTTGTATATCCTAAAACATGCGCAGATGTTTAAGGGACATTTTGATCATGCGTATATACGCAAAGTCAGTTAAGGAGGTTGGATCCTGCCATCAAAAGTAATGAGAATTTTTTATCAAGTATATTTTTAGAATTTAGACACATAGCTTAATTAAAAATCAAAACAAAAAATAGGGGTCAATGCGCTCTTTTTGGCGCTACAGAGCATTTAGTTTGACCTTTTTGCACTGTAAATACGTCTTACACATAAATCAATTTTTAAAATTTTTCCTCCAATATTTTTTATTCAAATAAATTATGGGAACAAACACAGCCTTAATTCATCTTGAATAGACACATTAAAATTTGTGACTATGAAAAAATTTTCAAATTACTCCGCATGTTCAATTATTTGACCTTTTTGCACTAAAAATTTCCATTTTTCTGGCATTAAACATCTAACAAGCAAAAAAATAATTTAAAAGTAATGACATTTTACTGAATTTAAGAAGAATGGTTAAAAGTATCTTATATATTCAGAAAATAAAATAAAAAGTGAGGGTATGTGATGTTAATTTTTTGATATTACTAAAATAGTGCTAATTTTAAGCTTAAAATAGGGAGATATTTTTTTCTTGATTTTCACAATATATTTACTATATTTATGAAATATGATGATAGAATTCATGACAGTTTATTTGATATATAATTTAGGACCAGTATAAAACATTTCACTGTACAAAATAACTCTGTGTGCAGGCTGCATAGAAAAATAGGAATCCAAACTTAACATACTTTGAATACTTAGAAAGAGAAGAAATGATAATTTTCTTCTAAAAAACATTCCGCCACAAAATATAGTTCCTCACTTAAAGCTTTTGGAATGGAATTTAGTCATGGAGTTTTAACTGAATATAGTTTAATTGGCATAGTAGAATCCAAATTTATTGTAAGAATTAAAACTTTATGCAGAATTTTTGAAATATAGGTTAAGATATAAATCTGCTCAAAAGCTCAGGAGCGAACCTCGTTAAGTGAGGAAAACCATTCGCGTTATAGACAAAGTATCTTTCTCTTTGCAGAGCTGTAGACATAACACACAAACCTGTCCGGTGTTTTTTTGCAGTATGGGTATCTCTGCAAAAACTTGCTGTTGAAATATTGGTATGGGTAATCGATGCACTCAACTACATCTACAATATCATCGGCACAGTGCAGGCCACTAGCTCTTAAAAGATAATGTTCAGGATTATTCCGGGTCAATAATGGTAAGTACAATAAAGCAACGAATATTAATTGATTGAAATGTTTTCCGTTCTTCAAGGCACTTAAAGAATGAAAATAGATTACCTTCCTTCAAATATTGCTTTACATTGTGACACAACAAGACCACCTCCCCATTTATCTATATAAGGAGAAATCACAACATTTTTTCCTTTCTGGCCCACAGTTTTTCTCCACCTAGAAACACCATAGACTAAGACTATTATTCATATTGAAGATTCTCTATATTTACAGTCCATTTGCACTGTATAAAGATTTTATTTTCCTTTCAAACATTGATAAATGTATAAATTTAATCAAATTGAATTTACCAATCTCTCGTAAAAGGATCATAGTTCTTGGGAATTTCAACCGCTGGATAGACCCTCACATGACCATCTCTAGTTCCCAAGTAACGCCATATCACAAACTGTGATTGGTCCTGGTTTTGTTTCCAAAATTCCTCCGCCATATAAGTTGCTTGAATGCTGCTTTTGACTTGAGCCTATAACACAAAACATTAAATTTATGTTTACTTGAAAACTCAATATTCATGCATCATAATTCCGACGAGATAGGATGATCTGCAAATTTGCAAGGTGTTTCAGTATGATAATACATGTTCACTTTCGGATTTTTAGCCATTTGCCAATTCTTTTCTTCTTGAAAACTATTTTATGGAACTTTTGAAATTAGAATCAACACATGTTCATTCACTTTACGTAATATATGTTATAATCAAACATAGTTGACAAATTAAATAAAAACAGAGGTGTCATACTTTCAATTTCAATGCGTTATCAGCTTGTTGACTTTGTACACTGTTTAGGTAATCAGAGTAATCGAACACTGCCTCCTGTGTCTCTGTCCTATAGAGGTACTCGTATGGTTCTTCAAAGGCATGGGGAGACAGCATTACCATTGACTTCTCTTGTAATGAGTAAATTATTATTATTATAAAATTTCCATTGACAACTTGAGTAAATGTCATCATCTCAAGTTTTCTTTCTATAACACAATCTTTGTTTTTCATATGAAAGAAAAAGATGAAGATACATCATTATTTCATATTGTACAAGAGAAATGTTTGTTGGATATATTAATCATGTATTTGTACATTTCAATGTCTTACAGTATTAGCAATATTCAATCTAACTTTATCCAATATATCAAATACCTCGTGTAGCAAATCTATTGTACTGTCTACATTTCTGTGTTTGTTGGCGATTCATTTCCAGTTTGTGATAATAAAACACCCCATTCGTTATTAACCGTTCTTGGCCTGGCCGCAAGCGTAACTGCTTATCATTCCTTCCAAGTACAACACACAAAGAAAAGTTTGTACCTGGAATCTGAAAAATTAATTGAAAAGCATCATGTAATAGTTTTTTTGTGGATAGATAACAAGCAACCCTTCAGGAAAATCAGATGTAGATTTGATAAAATTATATATAGAAGTAGAATGTGTTTATGAGTAAATGAAATATATAAACATAATATATAAAATGATTTGGGCTATTGTTTATAAGTCAGGATTAGATCAGTAACTCACATCGAACATCAATGCGGATTCGCTAAGGGTTTGTTAAGGTTACTAAATCTTAACATTCTTTGAGAGATGAGTTTTTGTGTTATCTTTCATATATGATAACATTTTGCATTATATTTTAAATTAGATATATCTTTGCGCATCTTTATCATAATCTTACTTTTATCCAGCTATAATCTGCTTCCACTATCCGCGTCTCGATTCCGTCGTATTCCAATTCACCTCTAGATAATGTCCTTGAATAGCTGAAAGTTGCACTCCCACTCTCACCCCTGAAATGTATAACTGTCGTGAACAATTCCAAGGAAGATTTAAAAGAATATGTACTTGTATAAGCTAATCTGGCAACTTAATCTTCCAACTAAGGGATTATAAGCGACAGAAAAGCAATTTGAGCATAGTTAATATATTGCAATTAAATGCCTCAAACTTTATCAAAAATACAATTCTACACATAAACAAGCAGCAGGTGCATGATATTTCCGTCCATATATTTTTCCGTTGTTTGTTAACTTTTCACATTTCTTTATTCGCCAGAATCACTGGGTCAAACTTGCAACAAAAATCCTTGAGAAGAGAATTTATGTTTAATCAAATGGAGGATCATCTTCTCTTCCAAGTGAGGGGAAGATAAACAATAGGGAGTAAAAATAGGATGGTGTGAATTGAGAATCTTCTTCTCAGGGTCCAATGGACCGGGAAGGAAATAAAAGTCAAGTGAAATCTCTATATGAATTCTGGGGCTACGAAGAGGCAGAACTAGTCGGTCAATGTTTAACAAAGAAATCAATATATTATTTATACGTTTAAAATCTTTTTGAAGAAAAAAGAGGAAATCTGCAAGCACTATCCGGGTAGTACAGTCTAAAGTGATCACCAAGGTAGGGTGGGCTCTACGAGGAGTGATCAAAAAGTTCGCGAACTAATTGAATTACTTCTATAGCAGAAATAAAACTAGGTTTCAGTGTTCATTATTTTTTAAAACTAGTCCTCTCCAATTCTAATGCACATCTGAAACCGTTCTGTCCATGCGCGAATCACGTGATGCAGGCGGTCACGTGACATGCTCCATAGCTTTCTGTTCACAGAAGCTAAAAGATTTTTCTGAGTCTTATATTTCTTACCATACTATTTATTTTTTAAACTGTCCATTTGTCAGAAATGCCAAATCTCGGTAATAGGATTGATGGATAATAATATCCTTTCCCAGAATGAGAATGGTGGCCATCACAACCCGAGTCTTCTGTCATAAAAGCGTTGTTTATCCAATGTGGATAAAGTATGGGCGACTTCTTTTTATCATTTATGATATGTTTAAAGTCTAAAGTAAACGATATTTTAGGGATGTGATGATTTTTTTATTGCTGGCGATCTTTCATAACAAATTGCTTAACTAATGACGCATCTCTTCCTCCGCTTGCTTTCACTAGGCAACAGAACAAACATCATTTTTAACCATCTCCCTTCCTTCTCTAAAGCAATCAATCAAATTAATGATTGAACTTCTGTTAAGTTTGTTGTCTTCATAAACTTCGTACAAATTATCATATACTACTGCAAAGGAATTTCCAAGATACTATAAGTCGTTTTAATTCCACGGTGTTAAAATTTCACGATTTCTCAAACAGTACTAGTCGGGATGGTTTTAATTTCAAGCTGCAAGAAATTAATTTAAATTTCGTATACGCATTTAGATTATTTTAAAAACTAAGTTTGCGAACTTTTTGATCACCCCTCGTACAAGGGATGTCTTTTTGTTCCTTGTGTTTCATCTCATATAACTCGTGTCATGAAATATAGTGAGTATTTCTAAAGTAGAGGGAATCTAAGACCAAAAACGTCTTTCATTTTCATATTTTTAACAAACTATAGGTACTGTGAGCAGTGAGTTCACAAAATGATACCCCCGCTCTCATGTGAGTATAATGTCAAAGTCCATTTCTTTTCTTTGACATGGAAAATCCGCAAAAACTATAGAAAGAATGGCGATGTCCATTTTTTCCTAATTGTAAGTACCAAATATCAGTCCTATCAGAACATAAAATAAGAGGTGCACAATGATACATATAAAGACTCTGTGAAAGTCTCATTAAATTTTAATCAGTGGCATAGGAGTTGCAGATAAAAGATCCGTAGCTCCAATAACATAAAAAGAATAGCAGTGTCCGTGTTTTTCTATGGGAAAATCGAAATATTTGTCCAATCAAAACATAAAATAAAGGAGATGCACCATGGTACTATGTAATAAAGAATCTGTGAAAGTCTCATTAAATTTTATTTATTGGTATAGGAGGATTTGCAGATAAGAGATGGGTACCCTAAATGTGATAAAAAGAATGACTGTGCCCATGCTTTGTTATGGTAAACTCCAAATATCTCTCTGATTTAAACGTAGAATAGGAGGTACACAATGACTATGTAACGAAGATTTTGTGGGAGTCTCATTAACTTTATTCAGTGGTATAGGAGGAGTTGCGGATAAAATATTCATACGCCTAAGTGTTACGGAAGTACGGACGGAAGGACATCGAACGGAAAGATGTACGGACGGAAGGACGGACACCCCCATCACTATAAACACCCGCTTTTCAAGCGTGGGGTATAAAAACTAAAACATTTTTCAGTTTTGGGAGTTGAACCAAGATTTAATCTCCAAGGCCATCACACAGAAACAAAATCAATTTGACAGTAGTTTTGTCTACATGTACTTAAGTCTCTGTGAGCCAATTTACTCAGAAGTCTACCGTGACAATTATTTACATGTTTTTCTTCCGCTTAAGAAGTTTAACATCACATAAATTAAAAAAAAATATTGTACATGCATAAATTTTACGTTCAATGTTTCTTTAGCTTTCAAATAAATGGTGACATCGAAGGCAGCAATCATTATTTTTGACCTAAAATTTACACGCTGAATACTAGCTGGAACTGCAGTTCCTGTGGCTATTGCCAAATGAGGGAATTGACCGTATAACGTGCCCGAGTCCCTAACATTAAACGTTTGAGGTTTTTGGAACCCCATAACATCAGTGTACACGTTTTATGAAGTAAAGACATGTACTACATGTTTGTGAAACACTGATGCCCCCGTATTGCAACTTATAGCGAAGATTAAACTTTCTCAAATGCAAATCAAATATGTTGGTACCCAAAGGAAGGTCTTGTCTCGAGGAATGTACCTGTAAAATATGAAAGGCTTAGCAACAACCATTGAAAAGATATGCAAAAGGTTAAAGTTTTTCAAAAGTAAGTCAAACATCAAGGTCAAAGTCAAATGGTGAAAATTAGGGATGTCAACTAATATTCGAACATTCGAATATTCATTCGATGAGTTGATATTCGAATAGGAATTTAAGATTCAAATATTCGGTGTTTTTAAGATTTCATAAAAAGATGTACTGTGATTAATAAATTTTGATTAGAACAGTGCTGGAATTATCCCTGTTTAATTTACTAGCGATCAATTTCGATCGCCTGATTTCTTTCACTACTTTCTTATCTTATAGATCTACTAAATTATTTTGTTTTGAGTAAGGTGTTGAAGAATTATACAATAATGCTTTATGTATAATGGAAAACGTACTTTAATAGTTTTTATTAGTTAAATATGATCGGATCTAGAATCGAGAACAACAAAATGAAAACCTTCTTAGAATGTCTAAAAGATGTAAAAGTATACTTATCAAAATAAATTTAATTGATCATTGAATGAATGTCCGATAGAATTAGCCTGTAATTAATGTTGTAAAGGGCTCAATTTCAGAATAAATATGTAAATTACTTGATTATCTCGGGTTGTACATAATCCTGAATTTTATATTTAGATAATCACCTAGGAAATTGTCTATGGAAATATTTGTTTTTATTTCAAACATTGACAAATATCAAATGGAATTCCTTATTGTACATCTACAAAAGTCTTCATACATTTTAACTTCTAATATAAAAATACCTACGCTAAACCTTTCATGAGAGAAGGATGATGCATAATTTAAACAAACCAGATTTTATTTATTTTATCGAATATTCGAATACTTTCACTGAATATTCGAATATGAATTATTGACAAAATTGATGTCCCTAGTAAAAATTAATGGTGCCCAAGGAAAGGCCTTCTCACAAGAAATACACATGTGAAATATGAAAGCCATAGCACCAACTGTTCAAAAGTTATGGCCAAGGTTAAAGTTCTTTAAAAGTTGGTCAAAGTCCAAGGTCAAGGTCAAAGGTTTAAAGTTGTTGGTATCCAAATAAGGTCTTGTCAGAAGGATTACATATGTGAAGTATGAAAGCCATAGCACCAACCGTTAAAAAGTTATGGCCAATGTTAAAGATTTCCAAAAGTAAGTAAAACTCCAAGGTCAAGGTCAATTGGCTACGATTGTTGGTATCCAAAGGAATGCCTTGTCAAAAGGAATACACATGTGAAGTATAAAAGCCCTAGCACCAACTGTTCAAAACTTATGGCCAAGGTTAAAGTTGGGTAAAATTTTGCAAAATTGGGTCAAACTCCAAGATCAAAAGGTCAAATATGATGATATCCAAAGAAAGGTCTTGTCACAAGGATTACACATGTGAAATATGAAAGCCATAGCTCCGGCCAATCAAAAGTTATGGGCAAGATTAAAGTTTTTGCGAACAAACAGACAGACAGATAGACAGACGGACAGGGCAAAAACTGCATGCCTCCGAATCTTCAATTACGGGGGCCTAAAAAGTACATGTGTGTCATTGTTTGGAGTACAGAGTACATGTTGAACTAATCTTGACTGTATATTTTTGGGAGGAAAAACAATTACTTCGATAATTAAGATTTTTTCCTTTACCTACATTTAAGTAAAGTGTACATTCTGTACATTGATTTATAATTACCTTTTCATCGACTCAATCATTGGTTTTGCATCAGGACTCTGCTCAAGCATGTAAATATCTATAGGATCTGGGTCATTTGGTGTCGGCTGCAAGTAGTGCACCATAACACGGCCTTGTCCATCTATCATGAATGCATATGAGAGTTCTCCTTCCTTAAAATTTGTATTATCAGACAGTAATTCGTCCAACAGAATATCTGTACACGTGACTCCTACTATTGACCTGGGGTTGTCCACAGGGAGACATAAAGATGTTATTAAAGCTTTTAAAATAAAAAAGATATATTATTAATTAATAATGGTTTTTGGAATCATCGCTAAAAATTTATTGTGATGTCGACTTAAAAAGAATCTTTTATGCAATTTACCTCCAGTCTCTGACGTTTTTGGAAAAGACTCATATGAAATAAATTTCTATTCAATGCGTTAGATTTCTTACCACACCTTATAAAAACCGGTATCCTAATACCTTTCATACCTGTTTTATTGGATCGTTCATCAACATATGGCAAGGAAAATACAGGATCATCACCAAAATTAGTGCTAAAGAAGAGTTTTTCATAATATAACCCCATAATGATACGAAGCTGAGAATCATTATATACTTCATGATAAACTCCCTCCTGAAAATATAATGGAAAGATAAAATAATTATTACGAATCTTAGAGATAAACTTAAGATGAGTAGTGCATCTTCGCTAGCCAAGGGTTTCAGATCCGCTACTCTCCTCACAAACCCTTGGTATATCGTGCTGTCAAAAATCGGGACTATTTACGTCACGTGATCTCGAATCTTACAACATACGCACAATAAAATTTTAATTTAAATTTATATTTTAAAATTAAAGTGTTTAGAGAATATAACAAGAAGGTACATGTATCGAGCGATGTTTATTTGTTAATTAGGGTGCAAATCTACACCTGCTTATTGATTTCTGATCAAATTATTTAAGATTGGATGACACTATAGCTATTTAGAATGGCATGTTATCTTCGTTGTTTATTTGCGTTTTTCATTCCCAAGACTAAAGAGTTAAGATATATCCCGAAGGCAGTTAAAGCAATTGCTGATTGGTCGAACGATATCGATCAACTCCAATCGGATCAGAAACCCTTGGCTAGTGAGAGTAGAGGGATTCTAAGAATTATTTAGCAATATTATAACTACATCTTCTTCGTTCTGTGTTGATAAATAAAAATAACCAGGTTTTAAGATACCGAATGAATTATGTGCAAGCATTTTTGGCGATTTTCTATGTCTCTCACAAACTCAATTTTTGAATTTGTTTCTTTGGTTGAATTGAAAAAAAATGTTAATCACACAATCTGAATATGGGAGAAATTATTCTCAAAAAAAAAAAAAAAAAAAGAAAAATAGAAAGAAATTCATCTTTACCTTAATTGGTCCATACGAACGATCATTCTTGACTTGTTTACTCATATCTCTCAAAACGTCTTTCGAATGGTTACTTAAACCTTCAGTTATAGAAATATTTAGAAAAAATCAGTAAAACTAAAGATTTAAGTTTTTTTTTTAAATCATGGCCCCTGGGTTAGGTTGGAGAAGTGTTGAGGGCCAATGTCTCAAATAGAGGAAACAACATTCATCTTCTCAAGAAGGGAAAGACAATTTCTCATAAAACAAACAAATGCAGAGGGGTCTTATTGGTATTTATGGCATATTGTAATTGTCTTGTCTGTAAATCATTCAAAGAATTAAACTTTTGAAGTAATATGCTCTCGTGCAAAAGTTACGGCCAAGATTAAGTTTTGAAAATTACATCAAACTAAATTAGGAGGCCAAACTTCAATGTCCTAAGTAAAAGTCATGGTTTATTCGAAAAAAAATCTTGTCATAGACAATGCACATGTGAAATATGAAAGTCTCCTTTTCTTTTTCAAAACTTACGACCAATGTTAAAGTTTCTGTGAAAGACAGACCGACAGACGAATGATATTTAATGTCCCGTGCTTTATCGAATGCGGGGACAAAAATCCCAATGTAGCAAAGATTCAAGTTTCTGTGAATCATGGCCCCTGTAGTTGGGCTGGGGTCACAATTACAGTCAATGTTTCACATTGAAAATATAGGAAAAATCTTTTGAAATCTTATAAAGAACAAAAGAATACAGTTGCTCAGATTAAAATGCATGTATCCCCTAGGTAGGCTAGAGTACGGTCACAAAAGTTGCACGTAGGACTATGGTGGGGCCTTAATAAGGCGTTCAAAGTTTTACACAGAAACAAATGAACTTCTGTAAGACTACATTTTGCAACTTATCTTCAATCCTTAATATACTGTTACTGCTGAATTTATGTAAATTAAAAATGTTGATATCTACAATAAGGAATTTCATTTATCTTCACCTTTCTTTGTCGAAAGGTTAGATGGTTCAGGTGATTATTGTGGCAAATAGTGCTACCTATTTTTGACACAATGACTTTATGCACTACATGTAGTTAACGTCTGTTAATTTTCTATCTATTTTTGACACAGTGAGTTTTTGTACTAACGTTAACGTCTATTAAATTAATCAGGAAGTGACATCCATGCACAGAAATACTTTATACACTGTATATATATATATATATATATATATATATATATATATATATATATATATATATATATATATATATATATATATATATATATATATATATATATATTAGGGATGTCAAATCGGTCAATTTTTGATAATCGGTTACTCGGACGTTTTTCCGATCGAGTACCCGGGTACTCGGTAAAAATGAAATTACAAGTGTGCTAATTTTATTGAGCCCCGTTATGCTCTGTTAAACCCGAAGCTGTTTTTATCACGTTTATAAATGTATTTAAACAATCGAGTCCAAGAGAAATTATTTTTTGGTAGTAAATTTATTTATCAAATAAACACAAAAGACACAATGCGTCAAAAATTAAAATTTTTTACAGTTCTTGTTTAGAATCTATTCCATCAACGCAAAAGGAGGACAATCTATTACGCAGGTTTGTGATGATAGGACTGGCGAAAGGGAATTAAGGAACGGACATTGTTGGGATCGCTAGTCTAATTATTATTTCATATGTTGGTTGTTTCCCCGTATACACTAAACTTACTACGCAATCTGACTTTCAAGTTGACATTTTTGAATCTTTAGTTATTTCTAAATATTTCTTCACTTTTGAAGGGTAGCGGCATTTCTATGCATGTCCGATATATTAACTAAATAATTAAAAATTGTTTGAAGATAATATAGACCATACTCAAACGATGTTCAATGAAAACAATCATTAAAGCCATCCAAAAATTAAGGACCACAATGGGTGAGAACAGCCATGTGCCAGGTGACTGATCACTATTTACTGTTTATACACAGCCACAGGCGATAACGGGTGTTTTTCAGGTGTAGATGATGGGACGCTAATTACCGTATGCCTCTTTATTTTATTTTTTTGATAAGTTTTTGATAAAAAATATGTACTTTGAAATAAGAATAAATACACTTCCGAGTAACCGAGTACCATTTTTAGTATTCGATACTCGGACGTTCGATCGAGTACCCGGTTAACCGGGTACTCGTTGACATCCCTAATATATATATATATATATATATATATATATATATATATATATATATATATATATATATATATATATATATATATATATATACTCACTCAGAAATTTTACTTACACATTAGCAATGAAACATTTTTCTAGTGCATTATTTCATTTCAACTGTATGCAAACTTTTTATTCAATGTATATAATATTTAGATATTAACCTTGTCCAAAAGAATACGTAAGAATGATGACTGAGTTGTTCCGAGCCTCATTTTCAGTTTTGATGACATCCACAGGGTCTTTATTACCTGTATTATTACCAGCCGCCAAAAACAGAATAACAGACTCTGAAAAAGAATGATAGAAAATAATTGCCATTTTCGTCAACTGAAAGTTAGTGATATAGGACAAAAATGACTTATTTAAAAATATAACAAACGCCCCAAACATAGACATTTTACAAAAACAATAAAATGCTTTCTTTCCCATTAGAAAGGAAATTAAGTTGCAGCTGTTGCAGAAAAACATAACCCCTGTAGGAAATTAATGTAATTTTCTGCAATCGTTAATTTCTGTACTATCAAACAAAGAAGGGCATTTTATTGTTTATAATTATGTTTGTATAACTAATCATATAAAGTATGTTAAAGTATGTAAAATATTGTTTTATATGTTCGTCATTGTAAGTTTCTGAATCATTGATGAAAAGCAGACTGCATATTAAGAAATTTTTAGAGGTGGCTCGAAAAACCGGTTCTAACCGGCGTTTACTGATTGATGAAATAAGTGTTGTTGTTTTTTTTAAATCAGGGGATATGTAAAATATGGAAATATATAATCATGAAAGTGTTTTATCATGTTATTTCAATTCAATTCAGAGAACATACATGTATTAACGCAGCCTTCTGCATTTCCTTTTATATTTTATTTTTTTACAGATCTTAATGCCTTAAAAATGGTGGGAAATCGTGATTTCTGGCTCTTTTGTCTGACTCTGTACAAATGAGAACTACCCTATGTCTTTGTAAGTAAACATGAGAACCTCGTACTTGGAAAAGGGTAATGTTATGTTCAGAAAGTTTGATTTGACTTCACTAGAAAACATTTGGACAAGATGAAGATAAGAGGGCTTGGAAGTGTAAGCAAAATTCTGTTCCATCCCTTTTTCATTTACAAGGCTTATTGCTTACTCAAAGGTATGTTAGGGACATGATTTATGCACCTGACGAAAAGTTATTTGGACAAAGTATGTCATACTGAACGCAATCGCAAAATAGCTGGCTTCATAACTTTATAATGGAAAAAAAAAAACAAAACTAAAACTCAACTTGCGTCATGAAAATTGAGGTCCTATTAGATAAGAACCGGGTGTCTCAATCTTCTTCAGATTTACTACACCCAGAACTTAACATCAGTTCCCTAGGGTACTTGTCGCTGGTGCTTATAGCTTTTATACTTTTATTTTGCTCTTACCCTTAACTTCTTTATTACTGATTCAACGGCCATATCTTCTTCAGCTATCTCTTGAATGCCTGACTTTCCCAAAACTTTGCCTTATACCCTTTGGCTAGTCCATTCCAAGGACTGTCAGGTCATTCCACTATTTGAAGGCAAATGCCCCTCAACCATTACATCTATATATTCCTACGTAAAACTTTGACCCATTGTTGTGGCCACGCCATACTCCCGGGGGTCATGGTTTCAACAAACTTGAATTTACACTACCTGGAATACTTCTGTATTAATATGACTAATAATGGCTTAGCTGTTCTTGAGAAGAAAATTTTAAAGATATTTCCTATATATTCCTATGTAAAACTTTGGCACCCTATGGTGTCTGCACCCAATCCCCAGGGGTCATGACTTGAACAAACTTGAATCTACACTACCTGAGGATACTTCTATATTAGTATGACTAATAATGGCTTAGCTGTTCTTGAGAAGAATTTTTCTTTATTTCCTATATATTCCTATGGTAAACTTTGACCCCCTATTGCTCCCCTACCCTACCCCCAGGGGTCATGATAGGTACAAACTTGAATGAAAGAAAAAGTGAGCAGGCTCACATACCCCACGCTCCCCCAAAACTCGACAATGCAACACATAATGAATGGCACAGAGCATTTTAAAAACACAGTATAATTCAAAAAGAGGCATTACTTGCAAAAAATCATAACATCAAAATTTCTTCCATATAAGGACATTCAAATCTTTGTATGTTACAAATTTAATTGGGCTGAATTTTCTAGATAAATAATGGAATCAAAATTTCTTGGTAATATACAAATCTATACATTACAGTATGTCTGAAATACCTACAAAGTTTCAGGAAATTCAGTGCAGTAGTTATGCTGACAATTAAACTGTTATTGAAATTCATCAGTGATTTTGATTTGTTAATGAGTGTAAGTCCACGTCCAACACATGACAATTTACACATTTAAATAATTGATGGAAACAAAATTATGATGTAGTCATATGAATTTGTTTATATACTGTACTTATGAAATTATTTAAGGAAAAGTACCAATTTGAGGTGTGTGTGTGTGTGGGGGGGGGGGGGGGGGTGAGATCTAAGATTGTGTGTGTGTGTGTGTGTTAAATCATTAATATTTTGATCTCAAAATCAATAGGGGTCTTTTAAGGTCATAAAGTATTTCACATAAAATTTCATTACAAAAGCTGCTTCCAGTGGATTTCCTTATTACCTAGCTGGAAAGTTTCTTCAATAATAGGCAAATCTCTTAAGGCAAAAATAATGGAATCGGAATTTCCTGGTAATATGCACATCTACACACTGTGTAGTAAATATCTTCAAAGTTTGACCAAATTCTGTGCAGCGGTTAAAGAGGAGTTGCACTAAGAAACTGTTCATCTCTATATTCAAGATATGGCCAAAAATCTAAGTTGAAAAATGCCGAAATTCTCAGAAAAATAAAGGAATCGGAATTTCCTGGTAATATGCACATCTACACATTGTGTCCTAAATATCTGCAAAGTTTGACCAAATTCTGTGCAGCGGTTTAAGAGGAGTTGCGCTGACAAACTGTTCCTCTCTATGTTGACGATATAGCCAAAAATCTAAGTTGAAAAGTGCCGAAATTCCCAGAAAAATAAAGGAATCGGAGTTTCCTGGTAATATGCACATCTACACATTGTGTCCTAAATATATGCAAAGTTTGACCAAATTCTGTGCGGCGGTTAAAGAGGAGTTGCGCTGACAAACTGTTCCTCTCTATGTTGACGATACAGCCAAAAATCTAAGTTGAAAAGTGCAGAAATTCCCAGAAAAATTACGGAATCGGAATTTCCTGGTAATATGCACATCTACACATTATGTCCTAAATATATGCAAAGTTTGACGAAATTCTGTGCAGCGGTTTATGAGGAGTTGCGCTGACCAAAAAAACAGGACTGACGGACTGACTGACTGACACACTGACTGACTGACTGACTGACACACTGACTGACGGACGGGTCAAAAACATTATACCCCCCGCAACTTGTTGCGTGGGGTATAATTACACTTCCTGAGGATACTTCTATAACTAATATGACTAATCTTGGCTTTGCTGTTCTCGAGAAGAAGATTTTTAAAGATTTTTTTTTCTGTAAAGGAATGGTACGTTCCACATAGATGTGCCTCGATAAATAGCCCTAGCGCAAGGGCATACACTTAATAGATTTTGACCATTTTGAAATATAGATAGAAGAAGAGTTCCTTAACTTGAAAAGTGCTGCTGCTTTCGTGAAATCGAGCACGTTAATAAACATACAAAATACTTGTGAAGGTCACGCATTTCTCAGGTGGAGTTCCATTACTTGAAATTTAAACTAATAAAAATGCGAATTCTAGATAAAGCAGCAGCACTATACAGAAAGCACAAGATGCATAGAAACAATTTATGAATTAAAATTTTACTTTGAATGAGGGTACGCCCTTTTGAAATCTATTTATGACCTCCATGCAGTACACAGTATATGCATTTATCACGTGACTGTCACACAAGGTAACCAAGCTAAATTCACTAAAGAGTGGGGTATATTATGTTACTTCAATTAATATTAAAGTCATGTGATAAAATAATAGCTATACAAAAACAAATTCAGTTTTAAAAGGTGTCTATTTGTGCAGGTCTAAATTCCGCTAATTTCTTCAAAGCATGCCTTAATAATGCTGTGAAACATAAATTCCTTTCACCCAGTGATGCTTTGTGGCAAGTTTAGTTGAAATTGGCCTAGTGGTTCTTGAGAAGAAGTCGAAAATGTGAAAAAAAAATTGCAGACTACACACGACAGACGACACACGGACGCTTGACACTCTTTGATCAGAAAAGCTAACTTCGGCCTTTGGCTCAGGTTAGCTAAAAACTGAATCAATAGGTTGCAATATGTCAAACAACGTACAATTTAAAAAAAATCATTACCCCTTTTATTCCCAATTGCTTCGATGTCAGTACTGTCAAAAAATGAGAAGGCTGTCTGGATTCCCTCGTCGTAATTTGATTGCTTGTTCCATGTGTTGGTGAAGGGGAAGTTCTGTAATTCAACTTTGTTTGCCTTTGTTGCTCTAGCTAACCGAGTGCCATTGCACGAGATTGGTGTGCCGACTTGACTGAATGCTACTAACCCGATCTGAAGATGGTATTAAAATAATCCTTCCTAACTGATCATTTCTTTTGATGTATGTACGATTCATTTTCAGGTTCTGTCTTGATAAAATGTCCATCGTTCGTCTGTCTGCTTGTTTGTTTGCAAAGACATCTTTTTATCGTATTTCCACTCCTATGTACAGCTTTTGGCTCATTTAAATATTCTTTGAATGTATTTTGTAGTGTACACTTCTATTACAAACATATTCAACCATATGGATTCTTGATTGCGATGAATATTAAGTCCACTGGGACATAAAAAGTAAAATATCTTTAAATAACCCTAACTGCTACTTTCATCGTTTCAAACAAGTTTTTGTCTGATTTTAACAAAAGTTTGCCAGTGAAAACTAGCTCTAGAGAGTGGTTTGTGTTTGTATATCAATAACTACTTAATTTTATATATATATATATATATATATATATATATATATATATATATATATATATATATATATATATATATATATATATATATATATATATATATAACGGTTCACAAAATACTGATTAAACAGAATAATATAATATTTTTTTAGTATCTGTGCATCAAATTTTTAAATTTCGTGAACACTGCTCCTGCGAAAGATTATAAATAGTGGTATAAATTAATCTTACGAGACTGATCAAATCTTAAACGAGTAAATCAAAAGTATTGCAAGATAGTTTTGGATTCCCTAGTAGTTACAAAGAAGATTTTTTAGCATGCAGTAAATACATTGAAGTGTAATTGTTTAATGGTTGAATGTTTTGCATTTTTTACTTCCATACAAAATATCATCTAAGAATGTTATGTTGTTTTAAGCTTAAAAGTCAGAAGGATAACTTTACCCTATCATTTGGACTCAGACTTTCGATAACATACTGCACAGCCTCGCGTGCCAAATGGAAGAGTGGCTTAGAGTTATATATGCTGAGTCTTGCTGTAAATTCCGAGACGTCAACTGCGACAACCACATCTTTCGGTTTGTTTGTCATCGAGGCTACATAATACTGCCTGAGAAGAAATTTCAGATTTTAATTTCTGTTTCCAGCTAGCTTGAGAACAACGTATTTACGAGACATTTATTCTTAAGGCTTATTCACAAACAATACAAGATTTTTTTTCTGTTGGAGAATCTTGAATGCATATCTTACTGATTTTGATACTGGCTAATATTAGTCATTGCTTTCTGAAATATGTTTCAGTTATATTGATATTATTGCTAATTTGAAGGTAAGTCCATACTGTTATAAGTTTAAATAGATTTTACTTGAGCCGGTTTAACTTAAACTACAAGTTCTAACCCATATCGTTTTCAAATTGTATCTAATGTTGAGGGTTTGATGAACCCCAAAGGGTTAACTTTATCCGGAGTTGGAATAATATGTGTTAATTTATCTTTTCCCTTGTTGAATTTAATGTTCTGTTGTTTACTTAGCCCAGTGACGAATGCCTGTACAAGTAGCAATTTAGATGTTGAGATTCGAAGACAACATTGACTGAACGTCTTATGATACCTATTTGTATTCTTATTGTCTGCAAAAAAAATATTGATTTATGCTTACTAGTGTATTTTTTAAGGCTGAGTTTGCTGACGTTGAACAAAAAAATAGTCCTATGCTGTTGGAAATCCATTGTTTATCCTTTCCTGATGAGGGTGAAATAATTTATAAATAAATCCAAATATTCAAGATAAGTGGAAAAAGCCAACTCATGTTATTTTTCAAGGAAACACTGGTTTCCAATATATCAATTTATCGATCTATATAAATACCCGTAGTTAAGAAATCCACTTAGACTCACTTAAATCTTGGATCATATGACTGACAGTTCTGACTCTCAGCATGTGAAGGGTAGATAAGGAAAGTCCCGTCACTTCCGCCGAAGTACTGCCAAAGCATATTAGGATTCTGTCTATAGTTCTCCTCCATAATGGTTTTAATTTGTTGGCTAGGAAAATGACTCGAAGAAGAGGATTTCGATATACATGCGTTGTTCTCCGAAATCTGTATTATGATGTAAAAAATGGCATGTAATGGTATTTCCCCCAGAAAAGTATGACGTGTAAATATAAGGCCTCACTTGATGTTATATACATTTGAATATTCTTACTTCATTCGAAATATTTCAGATAAACTATAGATTTTCTCTATTACCTCAAGTAATAAAATAAACGATCAATCGTTCATAATCCTCTTGAGCACCACAGTTGTATTGTTTTAATTGAAATAGAAACATATTTATCCCTCTTTTGAAATGAATGAAGCTATGAAATATATAATATCCAACTTAACTTGAATTTTAATTTGCATTTTAAAACACATAAAATGTAAGAGGTGAAAAGAAGACAACGAACAATGACCAATCTCGTAAATCCGGTAGATAAAACGAATTGTAAACAGGGTAAAAAATACGGACCCCTGGAAACACCAGAGGTGGGATCAAGTGCCTAGGAGGTTGAAGCATCCCCTATCGATCTGTCACACCCGCCGTGAGCCCTATATATGGATCAGGTAGACGACGTAATCTGTAGTCAACTTTAGTATAAAAGCAAGGACCTGACAAATGCTTAGACATGTCAGACAAAATGTGACAGTATCAATATCAGTAAAACATCCAAATATAAAACAGATATTGCCGGCTCTGTGGTTTCTTTTATTTCGAGTTCACTGGGATATATCGAATCGACATATGAAGAAAGAAACTATTGTTCATTGATAAAACGTCATCGATATATCTAAATGTTGAGCTGAAGGCCACAGCAAGAGTTTTCTTCTCGTATAGGAACTGGTCGGCAAATAAAGGAGCACAATAAGTTCCCATCAAAATTCCAACAGATTGTTGGAAGACCTGGTCTTCAAAGACTAAATAGATACTGCCAATGAGGAACCCCAGCATCTTTTTAATATCAACTTCAAAGTACTTGTATGAAAAATCAAATTTTTTTAACAAAGTAATTTTGTAGATGACCAATCACAAGATATGAAAATTTACGAGTTTCATTTTCATTGAGGAAGCAATTGTCTACGATAAACCAAAGAAAAATTGACTCACCTCTGTTCTGAATTTTGGATTGTAAATTCCGTTTACTTTGCAGCATTGTGGAAAATCTCCCGTATCATATTGCGCAAAATTATCATATTCTTGTGCAATCACCTGTTTTAGTTTCTTAAGTTGGTCTGTTAAGGTTTTGAATATGTCTTTTAAATTTTCGGCCATCTAGTGAAAAAGAGAATGATGATTTTGTGAATTAAATACAGGTTCATAATATATAAGTGCAAAACAAAACCAAATAAGATAATATTTCAACTGTTTGAAATTCAGATCTATGCATAATTGACGAATATTTGAGTATTGAATGCTGATAAATGTCCAAAGAATACCTGGGCTTCAAAATATTTTTATGTATAAATATCAAATTCAGTTAATGAATAAGTACGTATTTCGGGTATTTTTTACATCATGCAAAGGTATGAAATAATGACAAACAATACTTTCTTTACTATTTTACTACTTTATTTAATATTTTGGTTCAAGATGATATTGATTTTTTTTCTTAAGGATTATTTACATCATCCACATCTTTATGAAAAAGAAAAATAAGATTTTGCTAATCTATTAATATGTAACTTATTAATAGACAATTCTTGGAGAATTTGATTTTTTTTTGTCTTAATAGTAAGATAATTTAAGAAAAGTTCTACTGACTTGTTTGTAATCTTATTATGAATTATTCAAAGATATATCTTAAAATAACATTCTGTAAAATAATAATAATAATAATAATAAAAAATAAATAAATAAAAAAAATTAAAAAAAAAATAAAAATAAAAAAATTATGAACTATGGTGTGCAGAATTCTTTACTTCTTAACCACCGTAGAAAAATATATTAACATGGACGTTTATTTCGCTATTTATTGCTATCAGAGTCAAACCATATTTTGCCGACATTCATATTAAATTCTTATTTAGAAAAAAAAGATTTCATCAGCAGCGACTTTGCACCTGACAGCACAAATGCTCTTGGGATGGCAAAATATTTTCCTGTTAAAACGTTGTGGGAATAGTCATCATGTCACCACTGCTACACAGACCCTGTTTTCTATTTTTAAAAAGTGAAGAAGTTTATGTTTCGTTTGGTCTCAATTTTTTTTCGTTGTAAAATTATGCCTTCCTGGTCTCTGTTAAATTATCGCAAAGGTGTTGATGGTGGTGGTGGTTCCATTTCGCTGAATAAATTGCAAAGTTCCGTAGTGATTTATAATACAAAACAATTATTCTTTGCTGACTAGAAAATTAGTTGTTGTTTTTAACACGAGAATTGAAATAAAAACAGATAGAATTTTTGAACGGGGATACTTAAAACTTTGATAAGTATACAGGGTTATAATTACTAAATTAGAGGAACGGCGGCGTATTCTGAATTATTTATTTGGCTGTTTGCATCATTTCAGATTAAAATACACTACTTTAGAGTTTTTAAAGAAAAATATTCAAAAGTACATATACTGCAAAAGCTATCGGCTAACAGGTTAAGAAAAATGTTACGTAAACGGTTACGATTTTTCCGACCGATTAGTCGATTAACTGTTGCCATCCCTAGTATAAACACATTACTTCGTGAATTCAGTGAACATTTTTGTTAGCATTTTCATTAAACTTCTTATTTCCAAACTCTGAGGAACGAATTACCTTAAGGTATAGTGGGCCCTTACATCATGTTTTTTTTTCATGAAAAAATGTTTTACACATTGAAGATATAACTAAAAAAAAGAACATACGTACATTCATAAACTATGGACCGGGATACACCGTCAAGGAGATTTTTTTTTCTATAAATTATTTTCATATAAAAGTCTGTGTGTGAAATATATACATTGTTATATAGCTGTTATTCCTCGAGCTACTTTTCGCACTTACGTTACCTTTTGAGATATTATTGCAGCGGTATCTGTTGACTCATCGTAAAGTAGGGTATCGTAATAATTCTGCACATAAAAAGTAATCAAGTGTAAAAATAAACAGTCCTGCTATAAACATAGTAAATAAGACAACAATGAAATTCATTATATATTATTTTATTTATTATATATAAAAAGTATAATTAGTCATTCAAATATATTCTGAGAGAGCACCTCCAGAAATATATTGTTTATCCTAAGATTTAATTTACCTGTAAACTGGGAGCACATATTCCCTTTACTTCCATTACTTTAAGTTCCTCTGAAAATTTGAAACCTGTCAAAGAATTGATGTCCTCGCTCAAAACTATCCCTGAGAACTGGGACACTAAGGCAAGATATAAAATCAAAGCCATCCCTGAATATTCTTCTGTCTTTGCTGCTAATCGCTACAAAGTATAATATAATTATATCATGTGTGTGTGTGTGTGTGTGTGTGTGTGTGTGTGTAAATGTACACTCCTTCGCAACTTGGTAACTACCGATGAAGCCACATAAGTTTTTCTGTAAGTTACATAAATATTATAGAGAAACAACGTTTTTCGATCCCTTATTTATTCCCAGGCTGAAAATAAAAATCTCAAAACCTAAAATTATTACATATAAATATATTAAATATTGTCACCACCACTCATATTCTAAAAATGTCCAAGCTACTGCTTTAACTGAGAGAGAAAGTTTGGGGTATAGGTATTTGTAGAAATCGTTGTTTCAGGTCCGTTATTGGCCTCCTGGATGAAACCCAAAATTTCCGAAATTCTATCTACAGGACAACATCAATCCTATTCTAAAAGATGAAAAACATCACTGTCGATCTCACAGACCAAAATGAAAATTCCAAAACCTAACTATGCACATCTGCATAACACCACCATTCATTTTCCAAAAGATTATTTGGTTTCTGCTTAATTTGAGAGAGAAGTTCTAAAACATGGTATTAAATGAAAAACGTCGATTTTCGACCCAAATTGGCTTTCACGATGAAAAAGAAAATTCCGAAAATATTGTGCATATTCTTTAATAAATCACTTACACACTTTGGAGGAGTAGAAGCACTTTGTTCCTCATAAATTTTGTCTGTATTGATGATGATATACATGCAGTATTAAAATCTTACCTTAAATTTCTATGATCCCTATCTTCGTGTCTTTTCACTGTGTGAATGACTACAAATAAATGTGTATCAGGAAGAGATATTTCATTTTATCCCATAACAGTAGAAGGTGAAGAGTTAGATTTCATCATATGTTTGTTATTTAACACCACTTCTATACAAATGTGGTGTGATGCTTCAAATACCCAGACCGAAGGTAATATACGTTTAGCATTTTTCATTTAGAATCTCAGAATTTAAGAAATATAGGTCGGACAAAAAGAAGTTTAGACGTAATATAAGACATAACAAGATGTGTTTGTGAAACACTGATGCCCCCGTAAGGCAACTCATAACAAAGGTTAAACTTTCTCAAATGCAAATCAAATATGTTGGTACCGAAAGTAAGGTCTTGTCTCGAGGAATATACCTGTGAAATATGAAAACCCTAGCAGCAACCATTGAATAGATATGGAAAAGGTTAAAGTTTTTCAAAAGTAAGTCAAACATCAAGGTCAAGTTCAAATGGTCAAAATGAATGGTGTCCAAGGAAAGGCCTTTACACAAGAAATACATGTGAAATATGAAAGCCCTAGCACCAACCGTTCAAAATTTATATTCAATGTTAAAGTCTTTCAATAGAAGGTAAAATTCCAAGGACAAAGGGTAAAAGTTGTTGGTATCCAAAGTAAGGTCTTGTCACAAGGATTACATATGTGAAGTATGAAAGCCCTAGCACCAATTATCCAAAAGTTTTGGCCATGGTTAAAGGTTTCCAAAAGTAGGTCAAACTCCAAGGTCAAAGGGTCAAGGTTGTTGGTATAAAAAGGAAGATATTGTCATAAAAATTACGTATGTGAAGTATGAAAGCCGTAGCACCAACTATTCAAAAGTTATGGCCAAGATTTAAGTTTTGCAAAAGTAGGTCAAACTCCAAGGTCAACGTCAAACGGTCAAAGTTGTTGTTATCCCAAGGAAGGTCTTGTCACAAGGATTACATATGTGAAGTATGAATGCCCTAGCACCAACAGTTCAAAAGTTATGGCCAAAGTTAGTTTTTCAAAGTAGGTCAAACTCCAAGGTCAAGGTCAAAATGTCAAGTTTTTTTGGTATTGAAAGGAAGGTCTTGTCACAAGAAATATACATGATAAGTATGAAAGCCCTAGCCCCAGTTGTTCAAAAGTAATGGCCAAGGTTAACGTTTTTTCAAAAGTAGGTCAAACTCCTAGGTCAAGGTCAAACGGTCAAATTTGTTGGTATCCAGAGAAAGGTCTTGTCACAAGGTATACCCATGTGAAGTTTGAAAGCCCTAGCACCAACTATTCAAAAGTTATGGCCAAGGTTAAAGTCTGAAATTTTTTACAAAAGTGGGTCAAACTCCAAGGTCAAGGTCAAAAGGTCAAATTTTTGGGTACTCAAAGAAAGGTCTTGTCACAAGGAATACACCTGTGATATATGAAAGCCATAGCTCCAACCAATCAAAAGTTATGGGCAAGGTTAAAGTTTTTGCGGACAAACAGACAGACAGACGGACGGACAGGGCAAAAGCTATATGCCCCCGAATCTTCGATTACGGGGGCATAAAAATTGTATTAAGTATACCAAATTGTGTACTTCTTTGGTAAATAAATACGATCTCTGCAAGAGTTTTTGGTGTGTAGTGCATGTTGTAGAATACAAGAATGTTTCCAGATACACAATTTTTGTATAAATTAAGCCCACCTTCTGGAATCAGTTTAGTCTGAAGATAAAAGATAGAACATTATGTTAAAGAGTCAGTAAGTATACTTACATATGCATGAAGATTTTTTTAACCTGATAATTATTCCAAAAACTAATAAATCGTGGACCGTTGTACAGCCCCCCACCCTCACCCCCCGTTGGCAATATCAATGTATATGTGTTTTACTCCTATTAAGTCTTGTGCCTACATTTAACAACTTTATAAAAAGTTCCAATTATAGACTTATAGACAATTATAGAAAAAAATGCATATAACTGCCTTTATCTGCTGCAAGTTCAGAGGGGGGGGGGGGGTCATACTGGAATCACATCACTATGACCGTCCAACTGTCCGTGGCTACTTGTCTATTTTTTGACTATTATATTGTCAATTGGTAGAAGTTAAATAATCATTTGTATATGGACTCCTGGTACATGTATATTTAGATTCATTTGTCAAATTTCAAAATGTTAGGATTTTTAAAGATTTCATGGTGCACAATATCTGTGATAGAAATAAGCAGAGTGAAATTCTTGTCCGGGCAGAGATAAATTACATTAAATACTTATACTGTACTTATAAAAATAAAAATAATTGCTTGTGTTTCAAAGGTATGTCCTCATGCTAACTTATCGTTTTGAAAAAAGGTGGCATGCTTTAGAAGTATAAGATCGTTGCAATAACCATAAATTTGAAGCGGAAAAACATTACGGGGGGAAATGGAATTTAGAAAATAAGTTTAAACTAGACAGAATAGTTGCTTGTGATCAGAGGGTGTATAATAAACCTACAACATGCACATGTGGGACAACCTCTATTAAGGCTAATGGATTGTAAAAGTCTTATCTATATTATAATTATACCTGCACTTTCTAGAGAAAATTTAGGTATGTTGTTATTATACAAGTCAATCCGTCCATTACACGATTTCTACCTCAAACCACTCTTACATTTTAAGCAGTAGCCTATTTATTCCTTGAAATTTGATTGGTAGTGTCCTCTAGGTTTTTGAATTTTCAGATTTCATTATAAAGGGGGGGGGGGGGGGGGGATTGGGAGTCAACTAAGTTTTATTTTTCTACCGAAACCTGGTTCCAAGAACTCCGCTTACACTTTACAAAGTAGCCAATGCAAGTTACCTTTTCACATATTATTTGCAGTGTCCTGTAGATATGCAATAGGGTTTGGGAATTAGATTTTAAAATGTTCATTTTTCATGCAGGCCAACTGGGAGCCGAAAAACAACTTTTTTCCTACACAATCCTCAAAGAAGATAAAAACGATGTAGCCAAGACTCCTACATGTATCACATTATGAGCAGTAACTAAATCATATTTTGGAATATGATTGGTTGTGTCCTGTAGATTTGCAAGAAAGTTAAGGAATTTTTCATTTCATCATATGGACTAATAAAGTGGCGTAAAACAACTTTTTTCTGCAAGACGCAGATGGGTCTAAGCGGTAAAGAGTGTAATGCAACCTTGCAAGCGCGAAACATACCCTCGTTACCTTTATAGAGGCAAACACTTACATGTGGGTATTGATGTGTATTGAAAGCATCTAGTTTTGTAATAATTGAAATAATTTTAGAAGAACATACTTGGCCATAGAGTTACTTATGATCATATGATATGTCATGACAATGAACAAAGATCATTTAGACACACTGTCATGGTCACAAACTGTAAATGTCAAATTTTGAAGGTCTAAGGGATGTAATGTACATGACTGTGTATTCCAGAAGACAAATCACAATTTAAGTATTCTTTGGGCCATGACTTTTTAATTCCAGGACAGGTGATGGTAATATTTTCATATCCAAAAGTAAAAGTTGCTCACGACCAAAGGTATTACATTTTTAACCAACTAGTCCAATTAGGACGATTCTAGTTTTACGATTACTTTTGTATATATATTTGATTTATATTCTACCTGACAAAACATGTATATTTCCACTATATATTTTTCTTTAAAAGGAATTCTCATTACAGTGTGGTCTCGATTGAAAATGCGGAAGTTGATTAACATAGCGAGCTTTAAAAGGCTAGTAAGACATTTATGTCAAAATATGCTCTGCGCTTTTATTTTAAATAATGCGTCCTCTCTTTTAGTTTGCAATCTGTTTTAATAAATTTTTTTCCTTCATAATATTGATTGTAAAAAGGAAAAAGGTTCAAGTTTTATACTTTCCTTTGATCTTGTTTTAATTTACTTACAGCTGTAGTTATATTGTTTAGTTCGGTTATTGTTTAGTGTGGAATCTGATCAAAAATGATAACTTTCATAACATTGATTGTAAAAAGTAAAAAAGGTTCACGTTTTACACTTTGCTTTAATCTTGCTTTAATTAACTTGACGTTATATTAGTACTCGCAGGTCAGAGATATATCAATTGATCATGTGTATCCCAGAAAATAAGGATATCCCCTACCTCTTTCGACACTTTTGTTCTATCCTAAATATTAAAAGCCCGACTCATATCAAAATTTACTTCCATAGATCAGTTACACCAGAAAATGAAGGATATCCAGTTCTTTTGACAAAACCTTTATTGCAGAAATTTAAAGTTAGACTTGCATCATATTACACAAATTTGACAGACAAATGTATCGTTCAAAAATCCCCTTCTTACTTGAAAGATATTAAAGATTAACCCTAATTTATCAATTTGATGAAATGTTTGGCAGTGATTACTTGAAATGTAACGAATTTCGTAAATTCCCCTTTTAATTTCGTATTTACAGGTATGAAATAGATAATTTAAATAGAACATAAGTGCAAGTATTCAACATGAGAAAACTGAAATACTGGGACTAAATTGTCTGAAAACATTGCATCGGACTTTCGCGTGTGAATCATAGTATACTGAAATACTAGGACTAAATTGTCTGAAAACATTGTATAGGACTGTCAAGTGTGAATGATAGTATACTGAAAATACTAGGAATAAATTATCTGAAAACATTGTATAGGACTGTCACGTGTGAATGATAGTATACTGAAATACTAGGACTAAATTGTCTGAAAACATTGTATAGGACTTCCGCGTGTGACTCATATAGTATACTGAAATACTACGACTAAATTGTCTGAAAACATTGTATAGGACTTCCGCGTGTGACTAGGACTAAATTGTCTGAAAACATTGTATAGGACTTCCGCGTGTGACTCATATAGTATACTGAAATACTAGGACTAAATTGTCTGAAAACATTGTATAGGACTTTCGCGTGTGACTCATGTAGTATACTGAAATACTAGGACTAAATTGTCTGAAAACATTGCATCGGAGTGTCGAGTGTGAACCAAGATACTATGAACGGGAACATTGGAATTCAGAAAATAAGCAAGTTTTTTTTTCTATGAATATATGTGTATATCGAATTCAGTTCTCCAAATTACCGAAGAGACATGTATTATCAAGTTATTTTTTGTTTGTGTTTTTGTCTGTCTGTTTGTTTTGTTTTCCTTTTTGTTTGTTTGCTTTTTTTGTTTTGTTTTGTTTTTGGTTTTGTTATATTTTTTTTTTAATAATTTTATATTCCTTGTGTAGACAGACTAACCAAGGCTTTGCTATGCATGCCCATTCCGTCCGTTCTTTGTCCAGGTTTCAGATTATTTATGAATGAAAGCACTTACTGTAAAACTTTGAAATACTTTAACTCTTTAAAGTATATCCTTTTAGTGATTTTGTCATCAACACAAGCAGATTGCTAATATGCCACCAAAACAAATTTCTTGTTTTTAGGACGATAAAGCAAACAGAATTATAAGCTGATAATATCCTAGGCCTACATTTAATTTACTATTTCGGATAAGTAGCATCAGTGTTTGTCACTTGAAAACCACAGGGTTATCCTGCACCCATAATAATTGAACAAATAAGTTTTTGTAATACACACAGACACACACACACAAGCACACACACACACACATATATCTATATCTATATCTTATCTAACAAACATCCACTATGAAATTTCAAAATTTATTCTTCAATATGCTGTTGGATTTATTATAAAAATATGTTAATTCATTAATTTATGTAACCGCATCATCTGACATAATATCGAGTTCGTAGTCATTTACATAACTTGATCTCAAACTAAGATATTTATTACAAGCATAACAGATTACTGTCAAATTGCGTAATTGGTATTACGACTTGACAAGACATTGCACTTGGTCATATCAAAATTTTCATTTATTTCACACCTACGCACAGATTTAAAAAGCGAACTAAAATGTCCCACAAATCTCTCAACGGCACCACGGACACCGGTTGTTTTTCTGTCTTCGTTGAAAATCTGACCAACTGAAATTCCTAATAAATCTATACCAGTCTCGAACAAAAACCTTTGGAGGTACGTGATACACCTTTGTTATTGTTGTTTTAAACTTGAATGTTCTTCTTACAGCTCCTGATATCTCTGGTTTAAGTGTGGCGGTGGTGGTGGTTGGATCAGGGGTGGATGTCGTCGTTTTAGGGGCATCTGTCGGTTTTACGGTAGGGCGGGGCGTTACTCTTTTGATCGATTGCCGTTTTCTAGGTCTCGTTCTGATCACAAGAAAGTCATTCCAGACAGCGATGTCCTTGGATTTTTCATCTAATTTTGTTTTTTAAAAAAATTGTCATTCTACGTTTACTACAGTTTAAAAAAATACATATAAAATTATCAAAATGTTAAAAGAACATTTTAAAGAGTGCAATTTGAGAATACATGATCTCGAAGGTTGATTATATTGTTTTGTTTTGAACATATTCAATAATTAAATAAAGAAAGAACTACATTAACACATTTTAATTTGATGCTTTCAAAATAATTCAGGACAGTAAAGCAAAATTCTTACCTACAACAACAGATATAGATTTAGAATTTTGCACATTATCAAGAGGTGCGCATAATCCACCGCCAATAAAAACAACACAAATAATTAATCGACGGAGAAAAAATTCCATCTAGTCAATACAATTACTACAACAGGTAAGAAAATGATGATCAGAATTCATAGCTTTTAATACTGTCTTTCAGTTTGTACGTTTGTTAACCACAATATTAATCTGTCAGCTTGTTTTCAAATGACGATTGCTCATTAAAAAAATGAATCGATGTTTATTTGTAATTGCAAAAGTATGTTAAAGAATTACATAAGACCTGTCCTTGTTTTAATTATATCTTCCGTACATTTTTATAAGTCAAAGCATTTTCTCATCCATTACCACTGATAATAAGAAGGTGTAAAAGAAATTCTAGGTGACAATACTCCAGGTTAATTTATTTTCTGAGAACCAAAATAAAGAAGTTGGGATGAACATTTAGATATCTGATGAAATACATTTATACCAAGAACAATTCCATTTGCTTGGAGATATCTCAGTAAAAGGAACCAAAGTAAGTAGCAATGACGACATTTTGTCAAAAACATTTAATCACTTGGTTATAGACATCCAAACTGAACTATCTGTGCATAAACACTGAAGAAACTAGCTAGATAAGCATGGTCAATGTAGCTGTATAGTTTTTGGGATCGTTACAATGTGAATTTATACATATATGAACATGCCCTGCCTCAATAAATTATGATGATCATATATTGCATTTACTTAATGATTATTACCAGTATAAGTAATTTAACGTATCTACGTAGCTGCTTCTCCATTCACATATATATTATATATATATATATATATATATATATATATATATATATATATATATATATATATATATATATATATATATAGAAAGCCGTATATATATGAATCAGGAAGAAGAAGTAAATATTACGTGCATTAAAAATGTTATGGGGACATTTCAAATTGGAACAAAATATTTAACAAATTTAGTGAATTTTATGAAATTATAGATTATCATCAATACACCTTTTTCGCCACTGAGAGTCATTCATACCATGTAAGTAGTGCCTTTACGAATTGCAATAGACAGCCAATATTAGATACACGTACGTGCCCTGATATGATACTTGTTCTAATGACAAAGTTTTTGTCTTTTAAGTTTGAGGTGTAAAACACACCTGAATTTAGGTACCCGTTTTAACATGATATTTTTAAAAATTATTTCTTTACTTTCTGTTTTGTAAGTTAAAAAAGTAAAAATTTGCTTAAAATTAGAGCATCATGGATAATGTAAAAAACACTTTATGTACACAATGCTGCTCGACCAGCCAGAGATCAAAGCATTCTGGTGAAGGACATTGCGTGCACATGTAGATCTTTAATCATTTTTAAAAAAAAAACTTTTTTTTCTCCCTTTGTTTATGTTTTAATAATTCAATTAAAAAAACAATTATTTTCACTGAGCTCATACTCTTCCGAACCCATTTTGATAATTATAAAGAATTAAGAATATTAATGAAGATTACATGCAAAATACAGAAAAGTATTTCAAATACATCAAAGATACCAATAATATTAGTGACACTATTAATGCACCACTAATAAAATGATTTATTAATAATTAAACAGAAGATAAGCAAAGATTGAAAAACTGAGTTTCTGAGACAACAGTCAAGACAAAGCAAAGAAAATGTTCAGTAAGTCTAATCATGACAATGCAGTGGTGCCTTACATATATGTTGGTCACAACTGAATGTGTGTATGAGAAGTTTAGTACCTGCATACCTAACATTTACTGCAGAAGTAGAGAAGAGTTTGAGGACTTACATGTAGGGTTAGGGTTACACGGTTATTGTTAAGAGATGGTGTAACTTACAGACTTCAGATTCAGTATATAGGTAGAATTGGAATATTAAATGAGAAAAACACCTTTAAATAAAAGAATGTCTTGGTCATTACTTCAGATCAAAGGTTATGATTATTAATCTATAGTAATACAATGATTATCATTAATTTTTTTTTTTTAATTTTTACAAAATGTGAAGATGGTTAGAGGAGAAAAAAAGATTTTGTTGCCGCCTGAAGAAAGACTCAAAGCCATAGAATTGACCGCTGTATATTGGATGGTAATATACTCAGAACGAGAGATCCATGGCCCACAACACTCATCTGAGTCACTATGGTCGTGCTGTTCATTCCTATGGAAACCTTTGATCACACATTGCGACTCCACCCTACTATGGGTGTTATGATTTGAACACACTTGAATCTATACTACCCGAAAAAGCTTCCATATGAAAAAAAATGACTAATCGTGGCCTTGCTGTTCTTGGGAAGACATATTTTAATGAATATAATTTATTCTTAGGTAAAGCTTTGATTGCCTATTATGGACCCAATCTACAGTCAAGGATCTTAATTTGAACAAAACTTGAATCGACACTACCTAAGGATGCCTTTATACATGTATATATATATGACTAATCATGATTTTGCTGTTCTTGTGAAGTTTTTAGGATTTTTTTTCCTATGTATTCCTGTATTACACTTTGATCGCCCATTGTGGCCCTACCAATCCTACCAATGGGGATCATGATTTGATCACAAACTTGAATTTACACTACCCATGGTTCCTTGTTAATATGACTTACCATGCTTTTGCTGTTTCTGAGAAGAAGATTTTTAAAGATATTTTTCTATGCATTCCTATGTTAGACGTCTGTGGCCCCATCTTAGCCCTGGGAGTCATGATCTGAACAAATTTGAATCTACAATACCTGAAATTTTTCCTTTAAAGTTTCATTTTTTTCTGGCCCAGTGGTTCATGAAAAGAATTTTGAATGATGCCGTTGATTTTTTTTTACTAATTCTTAATTATTTCCCCTCGAAAGAGGTTAGGCCCTTCATTTGAAAAAAATTGAATTCCCTTTACCCAAGGATGCTCTGTGGCATTTTTTTTGTTAAAATTCGCCCAGTGGTTCTTAAGAAGATGAAAATCTAAAAAAAAAAAAAATACTGCAACAACAACGAAATACAACAGACAAATTTCGGTCAGAAACGCTCACTTGACCTGCGTGCAGGTGAGCTAAAAATAAAATTAAACAAAATAAATAAAATACATGCTAGTATTTCTTACATCCAATCTTATCATGATTTCTTTTTTTAAAATAGTCTGTAACTTTTATTTAGGGTGGTGGATTAATGTTTTTTTTTTCATGTTGGTTTGATTGGGAATGAAATTTACAATTATATTCAAATCATTCAACCAACAGAGTGGTGCACTGGTTGGTTTCACAGATATCACAAATAACACATTATGTGGTGATAAAAACATTGTGTTAATAAATATTTGTTTAGTTACATAACCTTAATAGTTTGAAATACAAAGATTTTGATGAAATTTACAAATATAAGTATGTTACTTAGCCACATTCACGTCTACACAAACATTAATAAGGATAAAGGTTTTATGCATATATATATATATAAAATGTACATGTAAGCATTACTTAGAGATAGTGTTACATATTCAAACGTGCACAAAATATTGCTAAATTACGGAGGAATTACTGTGAATATATTTCAAGGGCATCATTTGTAAAGAATTTAATTAAACAATTATATTATTACTTCATGACTTTTTCCTGATGCCAGGTATTCAAACATATATATCTTTTTCTAAACAAAAAATAAATGAACTAGAGGCAGAAAAATTAAAACTAGATTTAAAAAAGAATCAGGAAATGATAAAGAAAATGTTACAAAAAGTACAAAAAAATGAAAATTGATTCAATACATAATAATGTAGATACCTGTACTTTTCATCAAACAGTACTTGGAAATAAAATGTATGTTTCTTCTTGCTAAAGTAAAGATGATTCTGATATGAAAATTTAGAGTCTTTGGGGGGAAACAAGGAAGTTAAATTAAATGCACTTTGCTGATACAGGTCACTCTAGCTATAGATAGAACAATTCTGTATTATCAGAATCTGAACTCGACAACTAGAGCAACTTTACCTCTTGACAAAGGAAGCAATAGCAGCATAGTATTTCAGAAAATTTGTAGGCATTCTAACCATCTCAGTCAGTAGTTTGCTTTATGCAATTTGAGCAAAGTTTTTATTTTTACAAACTCATAAACTGTACTTGTAATATCTTAATAATGTAACCAATTGAGTTCGCACTTTGTCTTTTATAACACTTTCAAATGAAATCAAACACTGGCATATCATAAGAAGAATTGCGCAAATAACAGAAATAATGTACTTATGTTTGTATCATTATCAAACAGTGTGTTCAAATGGCGCTTGGTTTTTTCGGGTTATCACCTACATGTGCTGTACAACTTCCATCGTCGGGACTTTGCATTCCTATATACTGGTTACTCTGGTGGGAAGATTCATCCTCACCTCTGAGATAGTTGATTGAAGTGTCACTTTCAGATCTACGTTCCTCAGCTGAACTGAAACCAGGGTTATCAGTAACTACCGTTAGATATGTTGCTTTCTTATCATCCTTTTTATTCCGTTTACGACAGACAACTGCGATGATTATGGCTAGTATAATAATTATTACAACCCCGCCTCCTGTACCTCCAGCTACTATTGGTGTATCATCTGCCTGAGCTGAATGGTCTGGTGTCTGTGACGCAAGGCATTGTGTCTCTGAAAAAAATATTGTAAGGCATCCAGAAAACCAAAGCGTATACGGACAGAGCAAAATTTTGGACACAAAATGAAATTATACATACTCTTTAGAAAGCCTTCATAATTTAAGCATGGGCAGTATCTAGTTATATCTAGCTTGGTGCAATTCACTTCGGTTGTCATTTATTGAGGGTATAGTAATTCCTTGCAATAGGGGGCAGCGGTAAGTTAATTGCTATCTGTTAACGTTTGTTTGGGTTTTTTTGTAAGATAAATACCACCAACAAAAATTATACATAACACTGATATGCAAAAAACATCCTTCAGAAAGTTGCAATTAACAAAATTTCAATGGAAACGTATAGTTAGTCTGTTATTAAAAAATACGCAAATACTAGCTCAGACGATGAGTGCAAACTTTAAATATAAAAACATATGAATCACCATTGATCTTCTAAGGAATGAACTTTTTTGTTATTGATAAGTACTGTATACCAACTTTTATTCGCGTGCGAGAAATATCCGCGATTTTCGCGACCTTCTTTAACTTGCGGATATTAATCGCCGCGAACCATTTATTTTGCTTTGTATTTGTAGAGAATGTTTCCCCAATCGTGAAAAATTAATTGTCGATTTCAAACTGACGAATCGCGAATAATAGTTGGTGTAGAGTTAATTAAATCAGATATTAGAAGTTTATCTAAGAAATTAAGTAGACACATTATTTTCTTTCTGAGAATTACAAAATTGGCAAAGTATATGTATTTGAGCATTTATTCAAAAGAGAAAAAAATTAAACGGTGAAAAAATTGAGGTAGTCACTTTACATCAATTAAGGAAGAAGTTCTTAACTTTTATGACCTTTTCTATGACAGAGCTGTTTGCATTAAGGATAAGAGAGTTAGGAAGCATTAATGTGGAAGACTAAAATAAAGGATGATCATTTCCCGATGTTTTCATAAAACAAAACTCAAACGAAAAATTCTCCTTACTTTTTTGGTTCTGAACTTTCCCAAATGGACAAGTCTCGATGATATTGCAGCATGTCTCAGATTGTGAAAATGGTTTACCATTTTCGTCTTGAACACACCAGCTGCATCCTGCTACTTGGTAGCAATTTCTATAAAATATCAATTTTGTGAATGTTGTAGGAAAGAAAAAGAACTAGCTGCAGAACTGTAGTTCTCTGAGATAGATAATTCAGACAGACATACAATATAGTAACAGATCCAATATTTGTAAAATCCTTCGATTTACGGCGCCGCTTTTATGTCGCACGTTTAATTTAGGGTAAAATTCCTCGCATAATATGCTTTCCCCTAGGGCATGGTATCCCTTAATTAACCATATATATTTTACTTCCTAAGTATCAGTAGCTCTCTGGTATGCCTTTCCAAATTATCGATCCCAGAGAGCTGCAGCTTCAATAAATGAAGCTTGTAAACGCGGTGCTTATTTTTCCTAATTGTTAATAAAGCTTTAACCCTTAACTCCAGCATGAATAAGCAAAAATTTAAAAAAGAGGCCCATGGGCCACAATACTCACCTGAGTCCATATGCCCCTGCTGTATTTCATTAGCAGATTTTTTTAATTATATATTCCTACCCCATGTTACCCATCGCGGTCATAATTTGAATAAACTTGAATCTACATTTAGGCTATCTCAAGATACTTCCATATCCATGTGACTAATCAAAGGATTTCTGTGTCTTGAGAAGAAAAATTCAAAAGATATTTTCCTATATATTCCTATGTAAAACTTTGATCACCCATTGTGGCCCCATCCTACCCAAGGGGGTCATTATTTGAACATACTTAAATCTACACTATCCGAGGATACTTCCATATCAATATGACTTAAACATGGCTTTGCTGTTCTTGTAAAGAAGATTTTTGAAGATTTTTCCCTATATATTCTTATGTAAAACTTTTATCCCTCATTGTGCCCACAGGAGGGTCAAAATTTGAACAAACTTGAATGTACACTTTAAATGAAGGTTTCACTTAATTTCAACATTTTGGCCCAGTGGTTCTTCAGAAGAAGATTTTAAAAAAAATCACTAAATTTTTCACTATTTCATAATTATTTTTCCTTGAGAGAGAGCGTGGCCCTTCCTTTGAACAAGCTTAAATCCCCTTTAACCAAGAATGCTTTGTGGGAAGTATGGTTGAAATTGACCCAGTGGTTCTGGAGAAGAAGTGGAAAATGTGAAAAATTTACAGACGGACAGATAGACAACGGGCAAAATGTGATCAGAAAAGCTCACTTGAGCTTTCAGCCCAGGTAAGCTAAAATGGTGCAAATAATCCAGTTTTTCGTTTTACATAAATGCGTTTAATGGTCTTTGACTTCAGATCAGTGTGAATATGTATCAAATTTGGGTATACACGTCATACCATAATACCGCCCGACAAAAGAAGGGCGTATAAATATTACATGCTGAAATATATTATTTAACATCTCTCTTTTTTTAATTGTTTTAGTCTTACTTAATTAGTGCTATAGAAAAAAAACTTACTTCTCATCTCGAGCATTACAACCAGCATCAAAGCAAGGTTTCAAGTCTAGCTCTTTTATTTTGTCTAATTCTGGTTGAACTTTGACATTTGAATCTGGTAACCTAGCACTACAAGTGTGGTATTTCTCTCTGTGACAAATAAAAACCAATCAATGTAAGTGATATTATTTCATTAGCATGTTATCAGAATACTTTTTTATGAATTCAGTTTTAAAATTCAAATTTTACATACGTCTTAAGAAAATGGTTAAAATGCATTGTTTACTTGAAAAAAGGACTTACCCGGATGTTGTTTTTTCCTGGCAGGTATCATATGGCACAATTTTATGGCATAAACAACAGTCGGATCCACTATTGGTACAAGTATATTCAAGTGGTGATATACCTGAATTCTGATATGTAACGTTTAAAATAAGGTGATTGCATTTCTTGTGTTAGAGCAAGACTATAAATATATAATTTACTGCCTTTAATGAAAAAAGATTAAATTATGATTTTTAAATGACAAATCAACCCGGTTATCTTCTGTGGTCAAGGCCTCAATATATTTACGGTTCATGTCATTCATAAGCACGTGCACCAAAGAGGAAAAAAAACCTCGAAAATATAAAAAAGATTGTAGACCCAAATCACCCTTATTCGTTCTTTATAAATCAGGTTTGATATAAGTAACAAATATGATAATTTTGAAAAAAATCCCTTCTAAAGCTTGCTGTTATTTTCACTGAACACTTTTTGAAAGTTATAATGCTTTTATTAAACCTGACAACAGGTTCCACTATTGAGTTCTTCCTTTTTGATGATGATGTACACGTTACTGTTAAGGACAGGGGCAATTTTATACCCTACTGAAGACAGTTTGTTAACTGGGTCAGCTGTATCCGATAGTTTTACCTGTAAAGAATTTAAAAATACATAAAGAAAAATATTATCTTATAAGCACAAGAATTCTTAAAACGATAAACATGGAACACTGGGAAATTTAACAATATTCATTTTATTGGATGCTTTAGATAGAATGGCAAATGACTGCTTTGGTAGTAAGTAATGTCTGGTGAAAAATATACTTACCCTATATGAAAACAATTGTTTCTTATTTTCTATGTCCAAACAACTTTCCCTCTCAATATTTTTATCCTTTAACAGATCATCCATTATTTTTTTCTCCTATAAAAAATGCGACCTTGTTAAATTATCAAAACTTTTTGTAGCAAACCGAAACCTTCAAAACTCTTACTTAACATAAATCTACATCATGCACACGTTAACAGGCGAAGCTCGCCTGTCAGGAAATATATTCACCTTTAAAATGAAAATTTGCAAAAGGAAAAATAAATTTTCCAAAGGAAACTTTTTTAAAAAGTCTGGGGGATATTATCAAAATCCTATGAGATTTGACCATTTCCAACAGGAAGATTTTAATCTCATGCAGGAATGTAATTTCCTATGGGTGACAGAAAAAACCCACTAAGGAAAAGCATTCCTCTTTTAATTATCAATATTTCTATAGGATTTTTTTTCAGCAGGAAAACGCTATTTCCATCACTTAGAATGTTTTGCTTGCTATTTCGGGATAGATCGATCGAGATAACATCCTATATTTTATTCTAACTTTTAATTGAATAGAATGAAATACTTGTCTGAAAACGAGTGAATTGACAAATATTTTTCATTATGTTTTAAATACAAGTATTCTATTTTATTTCAGTACTGTAGTACTTGTAGGAGCTTTTTTAACACATGAAGTCGTTTCTCTTAACTTTTTCTTGAAATAAAAATGAAATCAATATATGAAGTTAAAATATCAATAATATCATGACCAAAAGACAAAAAAATACAAAATAATACTGTAACATTCTATTCAATATTTTCTGTGAATGTTCCTATAAATTAACTGAAAATTATAAACATTTTTACCTTTACTCCCAGGTGTTTCAGTTCAATATCTGGATTGTCCACCACAATCGAGAAGCTTGGGTATATAACAAGGAAACCGCTTATGTCAATCACCATACAGCTAACAATGTAAAATTTTGAGTATGGATAAATGTTATCAGAAAACTCAAAGTAATTGTGCAAATAAACACCTAAATACATCAACAAACCAATCAAAACATTCATTCTAAAGCCTTGTTATGTAAATTAAGCATCTTCAACATGATATGTCATGAACTTTCCTCCAATACTTAATATTTAAGGGGGAAAAAATTAAATGATCACGTTGTGATAAGAAGTTACCGTCACAAATAAAGTTTTAGCGGAAAATTTCATTTCGTACTTTCATTTATTTCAACATTTCTACTGCAGGTACCCTTTAAAACACGTTATTAACAAACCTGTATTCGTTATTCGCGCATTCTGGGTAGTTACTCAAAAACATCCTGCTGAAGTAGGGGTATGGATAATCAATGCACTGGACAACGTCAACGATATCATCTGCAGAATGCTGGCCATCGGCCCTTAAAATATAATATACTGGGGTTATTTTCCTGCCATTTTCTTACAGAAACATTGAGAATTATTTTTATTTTCATGATGAATTAATCATCTGATTACATTAAGTCTTAAGAAAAGTGTCTAACCTTCCTTCGTATATGGCTTTACACTGAGTGACCACAACCCCAGCTCCCCAGTTGTCCACGTAAGGGGTTATCACTACATACTTGCCTTTCTGAGCCACAGTTCTTCTCCACCTAGAAACATTATTCTCAAAATCACCCTTTTCTTTCATTGCACACAAAAACACTGAAGATTTTAGTACATATGTATATCTCGTGGGTTATACTTATTTTTGACTTACCAGGGCCTCGTGAAAGGGTCATAGTCCTTCCTGATTTCCACCGCAGGATAAACTCTGACATGACCATCTCTTGTTCCTAAGTAACGCCATATCACAAACTGTGACTGGTCTTGGTTTTGTCTCCAAAATTCTTCCGCTTTATAAGTAGCTTGAACACTGCTTTTTACGTTATCCTATTTAATAGAAATACCAGTATTCAACCTTTATTTTCAAATCCAATTTTCATCTATTTAATATATTTTCAATTGACCATTGATTTCTTTTAAAAATCGGAATAAATATTGAAATAATAGAATATTTATGGAATTGATTAAAATTATGTAAGCAGGAAATTTATTATAATTTGATTGTGACTTACTTTTAACTTCAATTCATTTTCGGTTTGCTGACTGTGAATACTGTTCAAATAATTGGAGTAGCCTACTACTGCTGCTTGTGTTTCTGTCTTATAGAGGTATTCGTAGGGTTTTTCAAAAGTATGAGGAGACAGCATTACCATTGACTTCTCTTACAACAGAAAAGAAGATGTGTTTGTGAAACACTTATGCCCCCGTATGGCAACTTATAGCGAAGGTTAAACTTTCTCAAATGCAATCAAATATATTGGTACCCAAAGTAAGGTCTTGTCCCGGGGAATATACCTGTGAAATATGAAAGTCCTAGCAAGGTTAAACTTTTTCAAAAGTAAGTTATACATCAAGGTCAAGGTCAAATGTTTTAAATTAATGGTGCCCAAGGAAAGGCCTTCTCACAGGAATTACACATGTGAAATATGGAAAATCCTAACACCAACCGTTCAAAAGATATGGCTATTTCAAAAGTAGGTCCAACTCCAAGGACAAGGTCAAAGGGTCAAAGTTTTTCGTATCCAAAAGAAGGTCTTGTCACAAGGATTACATATGTGAAGTATAAAAGCCCTAGCACCAATTGCTCAATAGATATGGCCAAGGTTAAAGTTTTCCAAAAATAGTTTAAACTCCAAGGTCAAAGTCAATGGGCTATAATTGTTGGTATCTAAAGGAAGGTCTTGTCACAAGTAATACACATAAGAAAAATTAAGCCCTAGTACTAACTGTTCAAAAGTAATGGAAAAGGTTGAAGTTTTTCAAAAGTACCGGGTACGTCAAACTCCAATGTCAAGGTCAAAGGGTCAGAGTGTTGTTGGTATCAAAAGGAAGGTCTTGTCACAAAGATTACACATCTGAAGTACGAAAGCCCTAGCACCAACTGTTTAAAAGTTATGGCCAAGGATAAAGTGAGGTAAAATTTTGTATAACTGGGTCAAACTCCAAGGTCAAAAGGTCAAATATGATGGTACCCAAAGAAAGGTCATCTCACAAGAAATGCACATGTGAAATATGAAAGGTATAGCTCTAACAATCAAAAGTTATGAGCAATGTGAAAGATTTTGCGGACAGATAAACAGACAGACGGACGGACAGTGCAAAAACTCTATACCCCCAAATCGAAATACGGGGGCATAAAACATATATCCATTTCTTTAGTAGTTATTTTGAAATCGAGAAAAGAAGAATCTGTAGTATTTCCCAAGAAAGAATGTTAAAAAATGATAGATAACTCATCTCCAGTATATTTAATACCTTTCGTGGCATATCTTTCATACTCTCTACATTTCTGTGTGTTTTGACTGTTCAGGTCTAGTCTGTGATAGTAGAATACCCCACTCCTTGATAACCCTTGCTGTCCTGGCTTCAATTGAGATTGCTGATCATTTTTTCCAAGTACAACACACAACGAAAAGTTTGTACCTGGAACCTTTAAAGATCAATAGTATTAGTTTTCAGAAGTAGAACATTGTTTCCATATATGAATTTTAAGGAAAGATTAGGAATTAGATGTATTTTGCCAGCAGAAATTCTCTAACATATATTATGTACATTGCATTTTTGCAGGTAAGAATTTTTTTTGAAGAACTCCTACATTAAATTTAATTCAAGAGATAACAACAACACACTTTTCTGCACTTGCTTAAGTTTATTGTTTTTATTACTTTTGTCCAACTATAGTCTGCTTCCACTGATCGGGCCTCTATCCCTTCGTATTCCAAAATTCCTCTAGATATAGTCCGGAAGTAGCTGAAACTGTTATTACCACTTTCACCCCTTAATGAAATAGTTAAATGCTCAAGTAAGTGTAAAGTCCTATATATTAACATCATATAAATGAAAGCAGTAAAGGAAACCTTTTTTAAAAATATATTTCCATGGATTCAAACGCAACAAAAACATTCACTGGTATTTCAAATGTGAAATGTGTGACAAATGTTGGTCATTTGATATTGAAAAATCACATAATATGTAAACTTCGTAAACTTGGAAATTATTCTGATTTTCGAACATTCAGCTGAAAACACTCAAAATACTTTTCTGACCCAGATTCGCTAGTTTCATTAGATTTTATTCCTTATTACATACGATAAACATAACAAAATAAGTAATGTCCAATAGCACATTATCAAAATTTGTTTTATTTCGAAATTATTTCAAATATTATACTTATTTGAAATTTCGACTTTAGGTGGTCCGATCCTCGGGTTCTGAAAATCAGGCATTGAATAATTGAAAATGCTCACAAAACTGCATATGAATTCTCAAAGTAATGTGAATTTACCCACGGCAATTGTTCAAACTTCATCATTAAAGTTAATGATATTATATAGGAAAAATTAGTAAATCTCAAATAAAATTTCAGGAAATGCGAATAAAGACACCTACTATGCATTTTCTAATTGGAAATTGATCAACAAAAACAATTTAGGATAGAAAAAACTATAGGTATCCAGTTATTTGAAGAAAATTGCATGATTTTTATACTTTTACAGTACTTTAGTTTCTTCTGTGTACTTCTATTATTTTATAATGCATAGTTTATAAAGTGTTTCCTATCATTGCAAAACACCATAAATCATTTCTAATTTCATATCATGTTAATTAGCATTAGTATATAAGGCTAAATTAAATGACAAGTTGATTTTTTTTAAATCTGTATTTTTAACATACCTTTACAGTATAAAAATATCAACGTTTTAAAAAACTGTTTATAAAACTTCAAAGAACCTTGAATCACATTGAGATGCATAAAATAAAAAATTGATGCAGGAAAAGATTTCATATTTAAGCTTCATTTTGAGACTTTTTGAATTAAATAATAAATTAAAGAGTTATCCTTCCTGGCTGAGGATCGGATATCCTTAAGGTTGTTCTCAATAAATAGATACAATCCACATTGGTTAATCTAAGTAACCCAAGAAATCTCTGTCTCTTTCTCTCTCTCTATTATGTCTTTTGTGAGTGTACATGACTGTCTGTGTGAAATTGAAATGCATTTGTCAATACCCTCGAAACCAGGATGCTCTTTTAACTTAAAAATCCCTAATTCATATTATTAAACATTTCTAGTTCTAACATTATTCTAAAGTTTAAAAGATTTTTTTCTGATACCTTTTCATTGACTCTATCATTGGTTTTGCATCGACACTTGGTTCCAGCACATGGATATCTATAGGATCTGGATCAATTGTGATGGCATTTGGTGTCGGTTGCAAGTAGTGGACCATAACACGGCCTTGTCCATCTATCATGAATGCATATGACAGTTCTCCTTGCTTGAAATTCGTGATATCAGACAGTAGTTCGTCTAACAGAATATCTGTACACGTGACTCCTCTCAATGACCCAGATGTCTCAACCGGTAGACAGAGAGAAGTTATCAAACCTTACAGGAATAAAAACACACATTCTCGTATGTATACGAAATACTTGTTTTCAGAGTAAATGGAATGTTTTCAATGACTTATTCCTTTCATTATGATTTTAATCAGATTATGAAGAATTAAATAAAATGAAAGAAAATTAACATTTGAATACAGAATTTGAAATGTCATGTTGAAAATCTTTACCTGTTTCCTTGGATCGTCCGTCTACGTATGGCACAGAAAATACGGGATTGCTACCCAGGTTGGTACTAGAAAGGTCTTTGTAATAAGACGCCATGTCAGAACGAAGTAAAGAATCATCTTTTACTTCCTTATAAGTCCCCTCCTGTCATTTAAAATCAACAAAATTACACCGAATTTAGCAGACATGCATTAAACAGATGTATGAAAATAATGTTGCAATGGTATATATAAGGTAAATTTTAAGGTAGTCTGTATTACCAACAAATATATTTTACTCGTTTAAATCTCTGCTCTATTTAGCATGGAACCTAGTGTAGCAATTTCATTAATAAGTATACGCATATCACGTACTAGAAACAAATTATTTAATAAAATGTCAAACAACTCTTTTTCACGCACATTCTAATGTATGTTCTTTGAATGTGGTTGCTATGAATATGTTACTTTTATTAAGACCATATACGAGGGCTGTTCGGAAATTATTGAGACATTTAATTTAACTCCATAAAGGACAGTGCTAAATTCATGAAAATTCGTCAAGTTCTGGTAAAATTATAAACATACATATGTCTATCGATCCGGAGCAGCATCGCTACGTCATTTAAACGTCACGTCAGCAGGAGATGTTTTCGCATATGAAAAGATCGGGAAGCGTTTACTCTTCTTTCTCTGTTATTACATATAACATTCCAAAAAACAAACTGTCTCTTTTCTTAAACGATTCTTTAAATTTTTTTTTCTTAGAAAAATGTGTGTTGCTACCCCAGTGTAAAATATACATGTGTCATATAGAGGTTGACTGAGCATCATGCAGTACCGATTTATGCTACGCGGGTCAATCCGTAATAATTGATGGTCGTCCGGAGCTTTTTTTTTTACTCTGTTTGAATTATTGGTAAGAAAAAAATATATGTCAATGAAAAAAACAAACCCTGAGACATGTTTTTTCTCATTGTTATTGTTTTAGCAGGTCTTTCAGTCTGGAAAAGAGTTCTCCATAGCGCTACACAAAATTTTACGTATGCTCGCTGCTCCGCCTTGACGTCAAATTCCATTGCCATTGTATATGCAAATTTTCCGTCCTTAACAGATTTCTTTACCGCGCTTAATTTTTTTTTTTATGATCGCCGAATTTCTCATCGAAATTCTAACAAACTTGCACAAAATGAAGTCAAAGAAAAATAGAAAAATTATATACATAAATTGAATTATTTTCGCTCTTACTATGGGTCCATCGGGGGTTTGAACGTTGGTGTTACGTATTTTCAAAATCTGATTTCGTGACTGCGCCGGGTACCCCTACCACTAACACAAAAATATTGCATTGAAAAGAAAAAATGAAATATTTGTAAAATATTTCTGGCTTTTATTAATTCTTAGTGTTTGTCAAATGTATGTGCAAATTTTCAACGAACGACGTTGATTAGAAAGAAAAATATAAACAATGTCTCAATAATTTCCGAACAGCCCTCGTGTTTTTCATTTAAATGAAGATAACATAAGAGGCATCATCCATGATAATTACTTTTACTGGTCCAAATGAACGATCATTAGTGACTTGTTTACTCATATTCTGCAAAACCTTTTTCCAATGATCACTCAAACCTAAAATAGAAAAACATAATTTTTGATTTCAATGTTACTTTAGCCTATAAATATTTTCAATATAAGCATGTATTGCAAAACGTCTAATAAACGTGTAATATTGAATGCTTACCACCTCCAAACGAATATGTAAGAATGGTAACTGAGTTATTCCGAGCCTCGTTTTCAGTTTTGATGACATCCACAGGGTCGTCACCGGCATTATCACCAGCCGCCAAAAACAAAATAACAGATTCTGAAACAGTAATAAAAACATAATGGCAAAAACTTAAGAAAATGTATACTTAATGAAATATTAAAAGATAATTTTCATCAAAACATTTTCAGAAAAAAATAACATACTAGTAATTTTCATTATCGGTATTTTTTGTTATAAAAAAGGATTGCTAATCTATAAGTGCATAATATATCTGAAACATTAATGATAATCGTCGAAGCTATAATTTTAGATCAGGATGATGATGTACATTAGAAATGGCGTAAAAAAGAATCCATGTCACCATTTTCCAAAAGAACTTACAAAGAACTCACGACTGGGACCAAAATACATGTATGTTTTTGCAAATCATTTTCTTTGAATTAATTTAAAATACAGATATTTTTAGAGAGCAATTCTAATCAAAAATATTAGGTAGGAAAGAAGTTAGAAAAGCTAAAATTATTTTAGTAGTAAGTTCTCTTGCCCTTAAATTCCTTATTTTCTATTCATTCCATTGGTATAAGGCAAAGTACTAATAGAATGAACAATTCACTGGGAATCAGGGATTAAACGTAACAATTTTAGCTATCCTTGACAATTTGCCTAAACCATACTGTAATTTTAATCAAATTGAATTTTTTTTCCATTCCTGCTTTTGGGGTATATAGAATTGAAATGTGATTAATCAAATTGTTTGAAAAAGACTTCTAATGGAATTCAAAGTTATTATCTGTATTTTGAGATTAGATCATGCAACGTTCTGCTTTTTACCTCTTTCACCTCCTTGTGTGCTGATGTCTTTAATATTGAAGTATGAGAAGGCAGCTTTAATTCCCTCGTCGTAGTGTGATTGTTTGCTTGATACCCAATCATTAGTGAAGCGTTTTAGTACCTCTTTGTTGGTAGTTGTTGCCTTTGCCAAATGGGTGCCATGACATGAGGTTGGCTTGATGACCTCTTCATTAAATGCTACTATTCCGATCTAAATTTGGTTAAAGCAACTTATTTTCAAAAAGTCCATTTGACACATGCAGGTTAATATTTTTCCAGAGTACATATCAATGATTGACTCATTTTATTTTCACTAATAATAAAACTTAAAATTTTGTAATGCCCCCCCCCCCTTTTCAAAATCGATCTTATCTACGACGTTTATGTTTTCTATGCACCTTAAATAAATTTAAAAATTCCAAACTCATACGACTAAAAATTCTTTTCATAACCCTGCGTCTAGCTCTCATTGCGTTTGGCTTTCGTAGCTAGGATTTCAGCAAATGTAAACAAGTTAGATGGCATTGATTGGTTAATACGTTTCATTTATTCATTGAATCATATAATAAAACAATTATTGCTGTTTTGAGGTCAATGCGATGATTTAGTTTCTTCGAAGTACAATATTCACATCGCCTTCGAGCTCGTGGAACATTGTACTCCTCAGGTAGCTAAATCATCATATTGACCTCAAAAACAGCAATAATTGTACGAGGGGTTATCAAAAAGTTTTTGAACTAGCGCCATAAAATTAAAACCGCTTTAGGTATATCAATGGGTTTTAAAACATTTACTTAGCATAATCTTTTCTATCTATTAAATAAAATATCAATCAAAAGTTTCATTTTTTAAATTAATTGTTAATGTTTTTGGAAGCAATGTTATGTCCAGGCGGCGGAACCTCAAATATGACGTTTTTTCTACCCGAGTGTAAATGAGAAAATCTCTTTTGATATAAACATTTGTCACAAAAAATCCCGTTAATTCAGGAATATAGTAGGACACAATTGTCCCGTAAAAAATGCAATTTTTACCCCATTCTGTAAGCTCTATGAAATTTTATCGTAAATTTTATATGGACTGTCCAAATAATTAGGGGCTTGAAAATCACGTCAAAAACGGAAAGGGTTTCTTTTTCCAACATTCTATTAAGTTTCACACCTGGAAAAACTGGTATAAACCAAGGTAATGTTTAAATGGGCTACAGAAAAATAAAATGCATCCCGAGTATTTTTTGCCCAAAAGATTCACTTGTTGATCAGAAATGAGAAACACTTGTCAGTGTTTGGTATTCGGTCATCGGACCAAAGGTCTTGAATTTTATTCCTCAAAACATTTTTTTGGTCTATAAAATGATTTTTAAAAAGTTTGGACTGGTATGCATGGGCGGATACAGGATTTGTGATTAGGGGGGCGTGGATAACTTTGTTCAGGCAAGGGGTCTGGGGGCCGCCTTAAGGCCCCCAGTGGGCCCAGGGGGCGAAGCCCCCGGAACCTCCTGGGTTTTCGTGAATTCTAAGAGTAAAACCAGGCACAAAAATAGTGGTATTGATTAGTTATGTACACTATGATATTTCACTTTTTAAAAAAACACACACACACATACAAACCCCAAAATACAACAAACAAACAAGATCAGATTTTAAAAATAGCATTTTCCTAGATATACAAGAAGTCACAAAAATCAGAATGTTTTTCAAAGTGCATTGTCACTTACGAGGGCTGGTGGTGAATACCTTTTATTGTTCAGATTACATTGTATTATATGTATTATTGGTCATGATATAAAATAAATGTGTTCGATTTACAAGATATGTGTGTTGGGTAACTTCTACCGCGCACACAGGGTATTTTTGATCGATGTGCAAATATAAACGAAATTATTCATGTCATCTCTAATTTAAAAATATATATATTAATTTAAATTATTCTGTTGTAAAACATAAAAGATTGTGAAAAAATGCTGACAAAAAACAGTAATTTTCAAAATGTACCTAATTTGAAGACAATAAGTGCACCAGGTGCCTAGAACTGATTTACCGATTTGTCAAGGCATGCCACAAATGTATACATATGCGCAGGCATCTAAACCGCATGTAAATAGAACAGATGATTTTTTCACTGTTAAAGAACTAGTTTCTACGAAGTATTCTTGTACATAATACTTATCCTAATAATTTTTTCATACGGACGGTGGTCATGATTTTTTTCTGGTAACAAATAGCAATGCGTCATTTTCATTGGTCGAACTGAGTTACCCGTTGACGCCGTATTCATGCATGGGTTACTTCGGCCGATTTCTGTTCAACTGATTTGCATTTTATTTGTAAAAACTAAATACTATAAATTAAAAAGGTATGAATTTAAGTTGTAAAATTAAACATAGTTGATAAATTTCACGCCAGGAATATCCACTGTGTCTTTCTATATATACAAGATATTTTCAGAGGTGATAAACTGATAATTCCCCGCAATGGTTTAAAAATACTCATCTTTAATTTTTCGGGCGATAAGGTTTCTTCTTGGATGTAATTTTCTAGTGAAGAAATAAATTTCTCCTATTATTATCGACATTGATTTGTATATGAAAAATGCATTTTCTTTCTGCATAAAATAGATGAGTGTTCACTATAATGGGTTATAAACAAATTATTTTAAGGTGTTTATGAACGGTCGAAATTAACCAGGTGGTCGAAGTTACACCATCCTAACCTATATCCTGACGTTAAATTCCATTTATATGGAAAGAATATGAGACGTGTGTAATGAAAAAAAAGTCTTGTATCTATGTAAGTAAATTACTGCATAGTTACACCATTTGATAAATAAATACATCAATCAGTGGACGGGTTTGTAACGTAGACCGTCTGATTTTAAATTCATGTATTTACCTTCGACCAGCCTTTATATATTCCAGTATTTTTCCTTGCATCATGATAGGAAATTGACAAGTGCAGTATACCCTTCAATCGAAATTGGCTCGACGTTTTCCGGTTTGAATAATTATGAGATAGCATAGCCTAGGGAATGCAAGGTTTTCAGACTTGATTTTTAAGAAAACCGATACTTGGTCATTAAATAAAATTACCATTTTTTAATTGACCATTAATTATAAAACCAAAGTATGGCATCATTAATATTAGTCATGTCATACTTTGAAAATTTTAGGGGGGGGGGGGGGCGTGCGCCCCCCACGCCCCCCCCTTAAATCCGCCAGTGGTATGTACAAACAAGGGCCTTAACGGTCACGTGAGTATGGTGAAACGATTTATAGATTAAAACAAAATATGCTGATAAATTAACCCCTCTGTTGCCCAAAGAAAAGAGAAATAGGATGGTCAGAGATCGGCAAAAATTTACTGCTCAGTAGCAAATATCAAAGTTGATCTATTTATTTGCCTGTACATGCACCCAATTGTCACTATCCCCACACAGACTAAACAAAACAATAATTCTTCAGTATGATTGTACATTAACAAACCCATTTCATTCCCTCCCACATTGGCCTTTCTTAGTCTTTGAAGATTATTTAATGTACAAAGGTAAGGTATTTTTGACCAATTTTTTTGTTTATCTATTATTTAAGACTACCTGATCATTAAAAAGTACGAAAATACTTTTTGTATTAAATGTTATAAAAGTTCTTGAATTGTTATTCAATTGGCCTTTTAAGTTACATTATTTACAGTGATTAATTATCCTAGGTGAATAGCAAAGGGGAATAACTTATTTCAGTAGAATAAAAATTAATAAATTGTCCAAGTGGTACAGAATTTCAAAATCTGGTAACACCCTTGCTTATTACAATTTATATACTCTGATTGCCTTCTACATATCCAGGAGCAGAGAAGATTTTCAAAGAAATACTAGTTGTAAAGTCCCCGATCCGGAAATTTTTCCGTTACAGGTTTGATTATTATGTATTTGCTTTTGTTTCCGCCCGAGCAGATTGTTTCAATTTAACATGTCCTTGTACTTGGTAAAGCCTCACAGGAGTAAGTAATTATCTAATTCATAAAATTTCAAGAAAGATAATGTTTAGAACACATTTGAATTGTTTTATAAATACCAATGATGCTGCTAAATTTAAATGTTTAAATAATATTTTAGTAAAATGTCAGTCTGTTCAGTGAAGTCATGTACAAGAAACTATTGTTAATGTCAATTATTATGTTTTTGGTAAATCTAGATGATATATATGTCATTTGTTTATGTTCTTTTTGAATTGTTTATAGTTTTTTACCCTCTTCACGAGGTGGAATGTCGCTTCCAATAAACTCAAACTGGAAACATTACACTAGTAATCCAATTTCACTACAAATTCCACATAGCTCAACCCTAATACCAGTGCTCCTGGCCCAGGGGCCAAGAAATTCACAAGATTGAAAGAGGCATCCTTGCTCACAGAAATAATGCAGTTTTACTAATAATTCAAAAGAGGCTCACCCTAACACCAAAGTGATGACCCAGGGGTTATGAATTTCAAATTGTTTTGAAAAGGCATTCCTATTCATCATAACCATGGGCAAGGACCGTGAAATTCACAATTTTGGTTTCCTTTCACTCATAAATGTTCTTTGCCAAAATTTGTTGAAATTGGTTCAGTGGTTCCAGAGAAGCTGAAAATGTTCAAATGTTTAGGCATGACGATATACAAAAACAGATAACAATAGCTAATAACTTAGCAAACTCAGAAATTAACGTAAACCCATTCTTAGTTTCTCTGATTATGCACTGAGGATATGTCCTGGAATGTTATGAAATACTAAGAACAAGGTATTATATGAATACATGAACTCTTCAGACAGTTTATCAAGAATAATTTACCCTGTCGTTTGGATTCAATGTGTCAATGACGTATTGCACTGCCTCGCGTGCCACACTTAGAAGTGTCCTAGATTCGTAGCTACTGCGTCCGGTCGTAATCCCAGAAGTGTCCACTGCTACTACAACGTCTTTGGGTTTGTTTGTTGCCGAGGCTACATAATATGGCCTGTGAAGAAATCACATTTATTTCAAAGTATGTAATTTGGTTTTCATCTGAAGGGATGAATACTCTATCATAAGGTCGTACCTAAAGGGACAGCGGGGTTGAGAGTGGGAGGACACAAGTGTATGTGCAACAACATCCAATCTTGTTTGGTGAACTATTTTTAAAACAACTTTAAAATTATTGTCCTCCAATTTCACAAAAGCGAGGGGACATTAAATATCATTTAACTGTCAGTCTGTCACAAAAATTTTAACCTTAGTCATAACTTTTGAATGAGGAAAGATAGGGCTTTCATATTTCACATGTACATTGACTGTGACAAGACCTTCCCAAATAAGCTATGATTTTTGACCCCGAGAACTTGACCTTGAAGTTTGACCTAATTTTCTACATTTTTTACATTGAAGATAACTTTTGAATGAGAAAAGATAGGACATTCATATTTGACAAAATTATTATGCATTATCCGTCACAAGATGTTTTCGAGCTTGCCATGATTTTTTATCCTGTGTCCTTGACCTTGAAGTTTGACCTATTAAGAATTCATTGCTGCTTACTTTTGAAAGAGAGAAAATAGGGTATCATATTTTACATGAGAAGACGTTCCAAATGTACTATTATTTTCAACATCATATCCTTGACTTTGAACTCTGAGCTCATTTTCAAAATTATTCTCAATGATGATAACTTTTGAATGGTAGGGCATTCATATTTGACATGTGTATTATCTGTAACAAAATATTTCCAAACGTGCTATGACTTTTGACCCCGTTACGTTGACCTTGAAGTTTGACCTAATTTTTTAAAAAAGAAAGTATCATTGCTGCTTTTTTTTTTTTTTGAAGAAAAGATATTGCATTCATATTGTACATGTGTATAACTTGTGCCAAGACGTTTCCAAATGTTATATTATTTTCAACATCATATGCTTGACCTTGAATTCACCTAATTTAAAAAAGTATTTATTGAATGACTAGAAAAGATAGGTCGTTTTTATTTGACATGTGCATTACCTGAGACAAAACCTTTCCAAATATTCCTTTGATTTTTGACCTCTTGACTTTGACCTTGATGTTTAACGTAATTTTCAAAAACTTTAACATTTCTGGGGTGCGTTCAACAACGTAGCTGCTATATAAAGTCACGTTCTTGAGCGGAGAGCTAGCATAGCCGCTTCGTAAGGAGAGCTAGCATAAATATTTAATGCTATGTACCAAATCCAAGATGACCTTCTTAGTTACAACTTTACAGCACACAAGATTTTCATAAAACGGAAAATTATTTTCTACATCTTAGCGAATTAAATGTTAATTTACATATATATCTTCGCTTGAAATAAACTCTTTTGGTTCCATAAATAAGTTTTTATCCCAAACCAGACTTAGCAGGTAGGCTAGCTGTCCGTTCAATAGAGATAGATATCTATCACCTAGGTTAGCCACTACGATCTTGATAATTTTTGAATGAGAGACGCTGTTTTTAATTTGACATGTGCATGGACTATTTCAAGAACTTTCCAAATGGACTTTGGTTTTTGACCTCGTGACCAAGACTCCAGAAGAGACGGGACTTTCGTATTTTTTTTCACATGTGCATAACTTGTTACGAGACCTTTCGGATTGTATTTATTTATTTGACCTTGTTCTTGAAGTTCGATGATTTTTTTTTTACCTTTTTCCTAACTTTATTCATTCAAAACTTTACATCTTTTTTGTATAATTGACAGACAAGACAGGACACACAAACAAGACAGTAACAATATGCCATTAACAATTGCATCTCAGTCACTGAGAAGTCGAAAGCGGGGGGGGGGGGCATAATTCTTTGAATTTGCTTGTTGCTTCTCAACTAGTATGGTTTTTTTTTTCAGGTTATTTGTTCTAGTATTTTTGATGGATTGAAATCATCCCAACCTTTTTAGTCAGCTTTGTTTCAGCTTTTTCTTTTAATTGGCTTTGTTTTACCAGCGGTTTGGTAAAAATCATACATGTTTGTTCAACCTTACAATCTTGTGCAGTTGTTCGTAGATTTTCCTTTACACGCAAAAACATAAATAAACAAATACGCAAGGAAGTATCACATCACTGAAGAGGAAGAACGGTATTGTTGGAAACAGTTTACGGAAATAATGAACCTTGACTGAAATTTAAGGTGTCAGGTAAAAAATATTATCTAAAACAATAATCATTTGAAATGAACAAAGAATGAGGAATAAAAAAAAATATACGTACTGATATGCAGAAGGCCTAGTGTATACTTTCCTTTTTAAAACAGCTAGACAGAATTTCAACGATATCTATATAACTTTTGAGAGAGGCTTCAAGTAAGCTTAGTCTTTATCTTGTTCCAATTCGAGGAATCTGTATATTAATTATTTTTTTTATGGAATCTAAACTAAAATGATTAACTTTATGATTAATGATATACTTGAAGATTTTACTTATAGTTGTGTTATGATTTGACCGGAAGGCAGTAAATAGAAAACTTAAGAATAAAATACTGTTACAATCTGACAGTAAACATGAGAAACGTACCGAAATCTTGGATCGTATGAAAAACAGTTGGGACTAAAACCATGAGAGGGATAGATTAGGAATGTTCCATCACTTCCGCCGAAGTACTGCCAGAGAATATTAGGATTCCGCTCATAGTTCTTTTTCATAACGGTTTCAATATCTTTGTTTGGGTAATGGTCAGATGTTGTGGACTTTGATATACATGCACTGCTTTCGGAAACCTGGGTTAAAAGATAAAAACAATATTATGCCTTTAATCAATTTTTGAACATTTCCTGGGTGGATGGTATTGAGAAAATGTAATACGAACTACTTTATCAAAGTAAAAATGGCTGTCAGAACATTCAGAAATACTCAACATACCTGATGGAATACAGTCAAACCTCGTTATCACGAAGTCTATGGCCGAAGAAAAACTTCGAGATGTTGGAGGGTTCGAGATATTGAAGGTAAAGAAAAAGAGCTTGGGACGTCCAAATTACTTGGACATATCCATGGTATTCGAGTTATTCGAGATGCCGAAGTTCAACTGTATTTTGAATTAAATTTTGATCGCACATGGATCGGATATAAAATTTCAAGATTGAAAGACATTTCTCTTAAGCTTAATTTGGGATACTGTGTCACAATAATGCCCTCATTGAAAAATAAATCCGTATATGATCAATCCCTTAATGATGACCCAATTAAGCCAGAAGAAGACATGCATTCATCAAAATCTAGCTCAGTCATACTAATTAATAAATTATTGCTCAATGAAGTAAAAACAGCTAATTTTCTATCATATTTTTGAACCATTATGACTTAACACTAACAAGATACATAGCATAATGATTTGAAGATCTTGAATTTAATATATATATACATGTATTTACCTGCAAATCAAATGTACAAAGTGAAACTCCCTTGTTATTGAAAGATGTTTAAAGTTATTTTTCCGATAAATTACCATCTTTAACGGGATACCGGTATGAGGATTGCAGCATTACAGAGAGAGAAAAAAAAAACAGCGTTTGCTAGTTATGTAAGCTTTCTCTGCAATAATTCTGACCGTTAAAGACCCAAATACATGTAACACATTAAAAAAGAAATTTTATTAGTTGTATTCATATAAATTTTAAATAATTCCTGTAAAGTGAAAAACGTATTATCATTCCGTAGGTTGAACCATGAAAAGTTGTCCTTTAACACGTCTTCCAAATGGAGTTACAAACCTGATCTAGCTAGTTAATAAGTTAGTTGTTATTATTACTACAGATGTATCCTTACGAAACACAGGAGAAAATATCAGTGTATGTAAATGTGAAGATATGAAGCCATCAGTTGAATCTCAATGCAAATCAGCCTAATAAAATACATTTACCTTTGTTCTGAACTTAGGGTTGTAATTGCCAGTTATTTTGCAGCATTGAGGGAAAATCTCCAAATCAGATGAAGAGAAATGTTCGTATTGGTCCTCTATTGCACGTTTTACATTCTGAAGTTGGTTTGTCAATGTTTCGAACATTTTTCCTAAATTACTGGCCATCTGGAAAAGTGAAATTGGGATTATTTATGTAAGCTCTTCTTAAAAAATATCTTTTAATGAAAATATTAAAATCAATTGAAATTCAATTTGAAATGATTTATACACGTAAAACACAAAGTCCTGAAAAGAAAAAGGTATACTCCCACAAGTTTGTTTTGATTTAATACTACCTACTCAAAGTTGTGCATTTAAATAAGAATATGTATAGCAAAATTTAACACTGTAGTGCAGCATTAATGTCACCAGAATAGACCATAACAAACTGGCTTTAATACGTTTTTTAAATTATCATTCCATGTCTGCAGTAGTGGAATAAAATGTGTGAATAATTTAAATGTAGATTACTTTACACTGCACGTCACCCAGTTACCCATTTTCTTACCTTATGCGCAATCTCTGTGCCTGTATCTGTTGGTTTATCATATATCAGGCTATCATAGTATTCCTATTAATACAAAATTGCTACACAAATGAAATTATTCTTTGATTCTTTAAACTTGCTGAAGTTAAATGCCATTTTAGCAGTCACATCTTGAATAATCTTAGAAGAAAGCGGATGAACAATTTGAAAGTAATCTTTACCTGCAGATTGGGAGCACCAATTCCGTTTCTATCCATTCTTTTAAGCTCATTTGAAAAAGTGAGACCGTTCAGGGATTGGGCATCCTGTGAAACGATTATCACCGGCAACAACGACGCCAAGACAAGATACAAAGACAAAGTCATAATCCTAAGGCTACAATTGATATTATATTATTTTCACTTTTTCAGAGAAATATTTTTATTTTATATATATATATATATATATATATATATATATATATATATATATATATATATATATATATATATATATATATATATATATATAGGTATGCATATCTCAAAGAAAGTATGTAGTATTGTGGCACCTGACCCCACCTCTGTTTTTGGAGGTCCTGGTTTGCTTTGCTCCCGATTTGTATTATTTTAATGAGCTTGGATACTGTTCGTTATCTACATATTTAACTTTTGAAAGCGAGGGACCAGCCAGAAAAAATGACAACTTACCTGAGAAAAACTTTGACATGCAAAAAAAAAAAGAAGGAAAATTTCCAAACTTGTAAATCTTACTTCGTGTGTGGGGTGGGGGTGTTAGGTTCTAACTTCTTTCACAAACAACATCTATTTATACATATCCCTGATTTGACTAACTGCAACAAAAAGTGTGGGGGAATCAGCCTTTCAATGAACATTTTAAACAGTCAAAGTTATGTTTGGAAAAAAAGAGGGAGGCCAGCCCCCACCCCCATACTATGTACGTGCCTGCATATATCTTTCTTTTTTTTTTTTTTAAATAACTAACCCATTATTGTAGAATATGGATTGTAAACTTTATCAGAGTGATGTTATCATATAAATATGAGAATATTTCAACTTACCTTAAAATGCATAGATCTTTACAAGTGTTTTTTTTAAATCATCGGACTGTAGCTTATGTGCCAGTCTAATGAAAATGGGGTATGAACATTTGTTTATACTATTCAAAATGTTCCAAAATATGCAGAGGCTCTTTATTTTAAATCAAACTCGGCTACTCATAAGTATACTTTCCAATTACCCATTGCAGTTTGCTAAATCTGTCTGTTATCCGTAGCGCATTGCTAAAATGTTCAGTGATTGATGAAAATGTCATAACGATTTTTGGATATGATTAGATGCAAATATTTTGCCTGGTTTGTGATTTAAAGAATTCAAAGACATTTGCATTGCATTCAGGTAAGGATGATTTACCCTCTAAGGTTATCGCAAATCACGGTGTTTGATTCTTCCTATTTACAGCATATGACCTAGTTAACAAAAACAAATGAAGTATAAAGGTTAAAATATACATCGTTAAAGAGCCAACTTAACCTATTTTAAAGCTCGATCCTGTATAGTTATTATTTTTATAAGAACTAAGATATTGCGAAATGTGTACGGCTGAGTTGTACGTTGACAGTATTTGAAGAAGACGTCTCTTTTGGCAGACCGAATAAATTCGTATTCTTCATCTTAGACAAAGTTTTCTTTTTTATTTAAGTCAAGACAAATTGCTAAAAATAAACAGAAAGAAAAAAAGAAAGAAAAAGATAAATTGAGCAATGAAAAATGTGTGTTCAGAGACAGTTAATTTCAGAAACTTTCTCTCTGTAAATGTTTATGAATTATAACACTTTACCTGAAAATTTAATATAGATGAAATTTACATGCATTTTTAAAAAAAAAAATTACATATGTTTTCAGCAGAATTTTTAAATGTAATATAAGCAGGGACATGATTGTTCTGAGGATCATCATGACAAGGTAGGATTTTATTTTTTACTTTTTTATTAACATAAAGGAAGATTGAAAAGAAAATAGTTTAATTCAGAAAAGGATATCAACATGCTATCAAATTGAACCATTCTTGATTGAATTTATTAAAGTCATTTAATATATGTATATATAGTGTTTCTACATTCTAGCATTACACGAAAAATTAAATATGCACGCTTTGAAGCAACGTCTCTTCTTTTTTTCCAATTTTAAAAAGAATCATCAATATTGTGGTAAATTATTCTGTTTGTTGGCGTCTTGCATTTCAATAAGAAGATGAAAAATGTTTATCCGAAAGCTTCCACACATGACATTTGTCCCTGTACATGTACCTATAAAAGTCAGTCACCCAGATATTTATTTATTTATTTATTTATTTATTTATTTATGCATTTCATCCACATAGAAATTTAAATGGAAGTCGGCAGACCTCTTAAGATCACGTTCATCCTTTATCCCGTTTCATTTGTGGAAACAGGTTTACAAATGAATACAATATTTTACAGTACAGATTCTACCTTTCAAAGGGTGTCTGATGATGAATATATATATATATATATATATATATATATATATATATATATATATATATATATATATATATGCATATATATATATATATATATATATATATATATATATATATATATATATATATATATATATATATATATATATATTCATTGCAGTATTTTTAAGGATTAATGACCCAATCTTCCTTTAATTATGGTCTTTCCATTTGATGCAGGCCTAATGGTTTAAACAAAATTTTGATTAGCTGTGAAACTAATAGACCATAAATAATTCTTGTTGAATATTTAAAATAATATAAGGGTTATGTTTCCCAGATAATTATCTAAACCAAAATTCTATCTAGCAAATTATCATTTCAAAGGCAAGAAATAGAAGTAATATTGTAAACTTTCTGGGATTTTAAAAGTAAAAAATCTTAGTATTTGAATTGATGATAATAAGTTTTCTGTTGGCAATACGGGTTAATCATCAAACAGCATGATTTATGTATAAACGTTCGAGAATTTAAATTTAAAATCAAAGTTGAAAATATTTAGATATTTTGTAAATGAAAAACTCACCTACGTTCGGGTTTCTTTCGTTTAGACATTCGTCATTTAGACTTTGGATGACCCGATTTAATTTACTTCCTGTTTTGGAAATCCCAATAATGACTGACATGGAACAACTTTACTTCACTGCAAACAGATCCGATTAGAGGACAATCAGCTTTTCATTTATCTTTTAAAAATATTTCTTTTTGATGGAAGAAATGTATTCATGCTAAATAGTCAAAAGGAGAAAAAGAAATGTGATAGCCTATTTTTATATACATGTCTACCTTTTAAAAATGTATTCAAATTTTTTAAGCATGTCTTACTCTTATTGCATGATTCAATAAGAGAAAATCTTTCCTGACGTATGCAATACGAGTAAAAGTCTAAGCTCTCTCATACTAGTAAACAATATTGTAAACATTTGGATTGGATTGATTTTTATGAAAAGAATTTTATTCTAATTGACTACACATGAAATATGAATATTTTCCTATCGTAATATGTATTATATTGATGCAATCATTCACTTGTGCAATATTATATTACTATATTACTGTTATATATATTAAATTGAAATTTATGTAATCAAATGTTACTTTTCAGTCTTGATATTGGGTACTTCATGTTTATCCTCCATAAAAATGCCACAATATATTTGTTTTCATTTTAAAAAATGCTAAAAGATTGAGATTTATTTTTAAAAGCGGGGTGTCCTTTAATTCCTAAACATTGAGAAACAATCTCATGAGATTGAGATATTAACACGTTTTGGGTAGCACTTGAAAGACCATCTATTTTTAGCTCACCTGAGCCGAAGGCTCAAGTGAGCTTTTCTGATCACTTTTTGTCCGTCGTCCGTCTGTCCGTCCGTCCGTCTGTCCGTCTGTCCGTCTGTAAACTTTTCACATTTTCGACTTCTTCTCAAGAACCACTGGGCCAAATTCAACCAAACTTGCCACAAAGTATCCTTGGGTGAAGGGGATTCAAGTTTGTTCAAATGAAGGGCCACGCCCCCTTTTAAGGGGAGATAATTAGGAATTAGTGAAAAAATAATGGCATCATTTAAAAATCTTCTTCTCAAGAACCACTGGGCCAGGAAAGATGAAACTTATGTGGAAACATCCTCAGGTAGTGTAGATTCAAGTTTGTTCAAATCATGACCCCTGGGGGTAGGGTGGGGCCACAATGGGGGATCAAAGTTTTACATAGAAATATATAGGAAAATATCTTTAAAAATCTTCTTCTTAAGAACAGCAAAGCCATGATTGGTCATATTTATATGGAAGCATCCTCAGGTAGTAAAGATTCAAGTTTGTTCAAATCATGACCCCCGGGGGTAGGGTGGGGCCACAATGGGGGATCAAAGTTTTACATAGAAATATATAGGAAAATATCTTTAAAAATCTTCTTCTTAAGAACAGCAAAGCCATGATTGGTCATATTTATATGGAAGCATCCTCAGGTAGTGCAGATTCAAGTTTGTTCAAATCATGACCCCCGGGGGTAGGGTTGGGCCACAATGGGGGATCAAAGTTTTACATAGAAATATATAGGAAAATATCTTTAAAAATCTTCTTCTTTAGAACAGCAAAGCCATGATTGGTCATATTTATATGGAAGCATCCTCAGGTAGTGCAGATTCAAGTTTGTTCAAATCATGACCCCCGGGGGTAGGGTGGGGCCACAATGGAGGATCAAAGTTTTACATAGAAATATATAGGAAAATATTTTAAAAAATCTTCTTCTTAAGAACAGAAAAGCCATGATTGGTCATATTTATATGGAAGCATCCTCAGGTAGTGCAGATTCAAGTTTGTTCAAATCATGACCCCTGGGGGTAGGGTGGGGCCACAATGGAGGATCAAAGTTTTACATAGAAATATATAGGAAAATATCTTTAAAAATCTTCTTCTTAAGAACAGCAAAGCCATGATTGGTCATATTTATATGGAGGCATCCTCAGGTAGTGCAGATTCAAGTTTGTTTAAATCATGACCCCCGGGGTAGGGTGGGGCCACAATGGGGGATCAAAGTTTTACATAGAAATATATAGGAAAATAATTTTTAAAAATCTTCTTCTTAAGAACAGCAAAGCCATGATTGGTCATATTTATATGGAAGCATCCTCAGGTAGTGCAGATTCAAGTTTGTTTAAATCATGACCCCGGGGGGTACGGTGGGGCCACAATGGGGGATCAAAGTTTTACATAGAAATATATAGGAAAATATCTTTAAAAATCTTCTTCTTTAGAACAGCAGAGCCATGATTGGTCATATTTATATGGAAGCAT